CTCACCTCATTGCAACTTATAAAAACTCTGAGATATTACATTATCTTAAATAGTAATATATAGATATGTCTTCCAAAATCCTAAATAATGTTATTTTCCAAAATCCTAAATAATGTTATTGCCTGTAAAAACAACATAAGTTATTAGTTAACACAAACCAATAAAAATATTACTGAAAGTAATATATATATATATATATATATATATATATATAAGGAATAAGGTTTAGAACATACATGGCATCCTGTGTATCCTTTTCACGACCTATACATGATTGAACCATCTCTTCTTATTCCCAATCAACCTATACCGATATTGAAAATCACCACGTGGCTGATATGGTCCCCAAACTAAATACTTTCTCATCTTCATGTTGATTGGGATGATAATTTACCATTCTCTTCCTTTTACTAGGATCCCGAGGAAGTTGTCCAAATCAATTGGTTGCGGCACTGCAGAATTCTCTTGGTATTGGTCTAGATGCATTTGCACTAGAACTTCCTCTTGTGGTGTTCATAGCTGTTGGATATCTAATAAAAAACTTGTCCATTATCTTTCATATAAAATCATGAGAAGGTTGATTAGATAGAGCACATGAAGAGGGAGACCTAGGACTAGGGATCCATCCACTATATCTATTCACAGGGAAGAGGAGTACTTACCATGGGAGGCAGAGAGGACAGACCGAGCAACAGCTGCAGCACCGCTGAGGTGCTGATTATGAAGAGTGATCGCGAGGAAGGGAGGAAGCAGCGATAGGAGCGAAGATGAACCGATGCGGGGGAAGCGTGATGGATGGGCGGAGTCCGCAGAGAAGAGGAGCGGACGTTCGACGACCCCTCGACTCATGCGCGCGTGCGATGGAAGGAACGAAAACAAGGGGGTGTGGGGTCCTTTTTTCCAATTGGAGTGGGGTCCATAGGTTATACTACTATGAATATAGCGAGGAGCGTAAATTTTGACTGGGGTCCAGGGCCCCCATCGTGTGTACGCTAAATCCGCCCCTGAGTAGTAGTAGATTACAGTTGAAACATCAGCTAATGCTGTCTCAGCTGGCATTTGGCAGGCGATCCTCATCTTCTCCCATATACTCTTTTCAGTTCCACAGTCTGGATTTCTTACATTCTAGCTTATTTATTAAAAAAAAACTTCTTTTACAAATATACCTCCTTTGAGAAAAGCCTAGGGGTTTTCTGTTTAGCTCCACGAGGTGGTGGGCTAGGCGACCTAGGTTCAAAGCCTCACTCTTCTAATTATTTGATATTAGGTTATTCCCTAATATTCATGTTTTAATATACCTCCTGAAAAACTTGTCCAACAAAATTTCTCGGGCAGTAACCATGGCATTTTCAGGGTGTGTTCGAACCAAGGTGTTGGAAGCCTCTCCTTTCCTGCATGAAAAAATGATGTAATTATCTAGCGCATAATTAATTAAATATTAGCTAAAAATAAATTATTATTATTTTATAAAATAACTTTGCTATAGAATACTTCATGTATCTACTTTTGATAGTCATATTTCATCTTGGCACACAGACCAAGGATAAGTGATTCTACTTATCACCCATTTAAACGTGCTACTAGTCATTCCTCGTAAACAAGCGATTCATTGATATTTGCATTTCTCGATGCTCATGTAGACAATCTTGTGTGGAAGAATGAAGAGTCACGCATTAAATCCAAGAAAGGCATTAAGATGATAAGTTGTTGTATTGAAATATGCCTATCAAAAATAAATTTTTTAGATTTGGAAATATGACTATCAAAAGTAGATGGAGGGAGTTTTTTTTTTTTTGGAAAAAACACATCGTTTACTAGTTTGCACTAGTATAGAAATGCACCTATGTGTCGGGTGGGAACCAACCATAAGTACCGAATTTCCTGACCAGTATCAAGCAGGCAGCCCCTTTGAGTCTCCTCAAAGATGTCGGTTTAGGAACCGATACCTTTAAGGTTACTTGGATAAAAAAAAAAAGCCAGCTCCGAGCACATCCACCTTGTGTCGCCCCCAAAATCAACCAAGCTTTGCCCTCCGAAATCAATCACAACGAACTCCCAACAGTCAACATCACCATCACAGATCCTAGTCATCGTCACAAAACCATACTCCCTCCGTCCCATTTTAAGTGCAGCCATGGTTTTCTCTGCCCAATTTTGATTGTCCGTCTTATTTGAAATTTTTTTAAAAAAAATTAAAAAATAAGTCCCGAGTAAAGTACTATTTATGTTTTATCATCTCATAACAACAAAAATACTAATTATAAAAAAAATTTAAATAAGACGGACGATCAAAGTTGAGCGCGGAAACTCATGGTTGCACTTAAAATAGGACGGAGGGAGTAGATTACAAGTCACGGTATCGACACCATGGAACAATAACAACAACAACAACAACAACAACAACAACAACAACACCATCTTAAAAAAAGATGAAAGAAGAACAACAACATCATCATAGTCGAAGAACATCCAAGAACATCAAGGAAGAGCGAAAGGAGAGAAGGTTGACACCACCACTACTCACTGTCACCATCTGCCAGATCCGCCTGCGGGAGCCGCCAACGCCACCACTACCGCTGAATCTGCTGCGGGAGAAGCCATAGTAGCCGGATCCACTGCCAGAGAAGTCGTTGCCGCCGGATCCGTTGCGAGAAAAGCCGCCATCGTCAAATCCACCGTGGGAGAAGCTTGAGGCAGAGGGGGAGGGGGAAGAGGACTGTCAGATCCACGCGCGCGTCGCCACGGTGGGGACGCCACCAAGGAGGGAGAAGAGAGGGTGGGTGACGAGGAGGAGAAGTGGGGAAATCTTGGGGCGGAGGGAGAGGGGGAAGAGGCCTGCTAGCGAGAGAGAGAGGGGGTGGGCAGGGGAGAGTGAGAGTAGGGTAGGGATAATATAAGGACGTGAGTGGATATGAGTGTCAGTTGATCGGCTTGGTTTTTTGTGTCGGCGTAGAACCAATACCTTTAATATATTATAGGTGTTGATATAATATATTATAGGTGTCGATTCTTTTAGAAAAATCGACACTTATAATATTGGTGCTATTTTTTCTTTAGAACTGCACCTATAGTTGTTGAATGGTACTGGTTCTATTGCAATAATGGGAAAAGGTTTATAGGCGTCGATTTTAGTTGTTCTGGTATCCATAGTGCCATCTCCTTTGCGTTCCTGTAGTAGTGTTTGAAAGCGCATGCGTGAAATACAATAGAGTAGAAGTTTGGAAGAGGGAGTAAAGAACACACTATTTTTTTTTTGAAACCTAAGGCGGAACTTTGTTCCACTTTCATATTTAGAAGAAGAGAATTGACCCAATTTATAAGGAAAACCGGGTCCGAAAACCATATAATTGCACGATTAATTACAGGAAAACCGGCTGAAAACCACCGGTACACAACTAACAACTACGGCGGAGCCCAAACGCAGGATGTCGCCGCCAAGCTAAACACAAAAGCGACTAAACAGCTCCCATATCACATAAGAGGTGTTATTGTTGCCGAGCTAGCCGCCCAAGCGACCCAGCAGCGCCGACTTCACAACCACAGTGACACTGAAGCCACGAAAGTCACCAAAGCGAAAAGCAGCTCCGGCATCCAACAATGGACATCAGCCTGACCATCGAGGAGCCACTTCCTTCACACGGCCAGCACCAGAACTCCACTATTGGGATCAAATTAAAAACGGGAGATAAAACAAATTTAGCACCCCCTCCGTTCCATAATACTACCTCCTTGCACAAATGTATGACCTTGGTTAGCTCATAAAAAAAATACGGAGGGAGTATTATATTGCATTCTGGCAACGTATGCGTAGATTACAGTTTATACAGTGGTACTATCTAGTACATGGGCTCTGCGAATCAAAGATACCGTTAATAAGCACGTCGCACGAAAAGTTGAGGACAATGTAGCTTTTTCTCTGCGAAAATGGTGGCAGATGATCATAGATAGGATAGGATATGATATGATCCCAAACAAACAGGCATCGATCAAGCATTCGCGAGCGAAATGGCGATGATTGCGAGGGAATTCTGTTATCGCCGTGTCAACCGCTGCCATCATTCCATCTCCCTCGCGCCGACGCCCATCATTTCTCACACCCCTCTCCCTCCCCTCCTGCCAAACCTTTCGATCCAACACCAACATGCTGCATGCCATCATCTTGCCGCCGGCACAGTCGCCATTGCCTCTCTCCCTCTTTTATTATCCCCATCACCAGCTGTAGCTGTAACAGCACAACACCCTTTCTTCACATCTACTACGTAGTATGTAATCACCATGCTTATTGCTCCCTCCGCTTCAGATTATATTAAGCTGTGTTTGAGAGAGAGGGAATTGAGAAGATGGGGAAGATACGCAAAACGAGGTGAACCATTAGCGCATGATTAATTGAGTATTAACTATTTTAAATTTTAAAAATGGACTAATATGATTTTTTAAAGCAACTTTCATATAGAAATTTTTTGCACAAAATACACCGTTTAGTAGTTTGGGAAGCGTGCGCGCGGAAAACGAGTGACAATCTCCCCAATCTCCTTTGAAAGAACGCAGCCTAAGTCATGTTGATTTCGATCAAATTTAAATTGTTCCAAGTTTAATCAACTTTGTAGAAAAAAAGTAATATTTTCAATACAGGATAAATATATTATAAAAATATATTCAATTATAGATTCAATAATTGGTGTTATAAATATTACTATATTTATCTACAAACTTAATCAAACTTAGAGTAATTTAACTTTGACCAAAGTCAAAATGACTTATAATCTGAAACTAAGTGAGTACACATTTAGTTGAGATGTATATGCCGGTTAAGTTACTAACGTCTTATAGTATGTGTTGCTACATCCGTCCTTAAATATAGTAACACACGTACTAAGTATCAAATGTGACGTATTTTTGTACGGTTAAAATTCGCTATAATAGGTTGTGTCTCGTATAGTACTAGCTTACTATATTATGGACGAAGGATGCACTGTGTCAAGAAGAGAATTCATGCTGTCAACTTGATTTCAGTCGCAAATGTTGTGCAATTAAGCAAGAGGATCTACTATTTATTTATGCCAAAGAAAGGGAGCTAAGCTTAGCTAGCTGCAAAGGAAGGAAGGAAGGCTACTGCAAGTAATAGTAGATCACTCTTTGGCTGCTGCGCTGCACTGCAAGTCTGCAACTACTAAAGCGGTAAGCACGCTTTAAATACCTTGTTTGCACTCGCTAAAGCGGCATATGCATCTGCAAAGATCAAAGCAAACAAATTTTAAAGAAAGAAAGCACCACACGCGCATGCTCGCACATACATCTCTCTCTCTCTCTCTCTCTCAAAGGCTCAGAGCACTTGCAAATAACTAGCTTCAATTTCTCTGTCTCTTCACCACAAATGCAGCAGCAGCAGCACACCATCACATTAGCTTTCCCTTTCGACTGCAGGACAGAAGAAGAAGAAGAAGAAGAAGGTGAAGAAGAGGAGGAAGGAAGAAGGGTAGTAGAGAGGAGCATGCAGTACATGGCATGATTCTGCCTGTGGCTTTTAGTAGAGAAGAGTAATTGAGCTCTTCTGCATCTCCTCTCTCTGTCTGTCTCTCCTCCATCCAAAGTCTGCATGCAAGAACATCTTCTTATGATGGCTCTTTCCCTCAGTGGAAGCCACACTGCCTCCTTCCAAAGCAAAGGTCCCAACTTTTGCTGTTGCATGGGCAAGCTAAGGAGTACTGTGTAGCTTAGCTATAGCTAGCTCTGCCTTGCATTTGCATTGCATTGCACTTGTGGGAAAAGAAAGGGAGAAAGTTATACTCCTTCCTAGTACAATGGTGCTGTGTGTGTGTGTGTGTTTTCTCTCTTTATTCCTCTCCTTTTGTAATTTTGTTTTGCTCTTCTTGGATCAGCCTGAAGCATGTATGCATGCACATGAGATGTGTGAGTGAGATCTACTGCTAGTAGTAGCAAACAAGATAGAGAGAAAGAACCTCCTGTTCCATGAAGAATTTTTATCTTCAAATGTTGGTGCACATTTTTGTAAGATGGTGCTTTGACAAGTCTTGCCAGTGGCTAAAAAACAAGGGGCTTACATAGGTATACTGCCTGTGGGATTAGATGCTCTGTTCCACCAAAGCAATTTTTAATCAAAAGAAAGAAGGGGGCATCTTGGTAAATGCCATCCTCAAGAACAAAATCAAGAATTTGCCAAAAATGCCTTGATGCTCTGTTCCTTCCCTTCTTGATGCCCTGATGCGACCTCAGTCTCCTGGCTTTTCATTGAAGGCAATATGCATTCTTTCCCTTTTGTTTCTGAAGAGATGGTCCTCACTTGTTAATTCTCTATATTTTCCTCATATAATTCATGTTTAATTTGTAGTATAAGATTATACTAATGTAGTTCTCCAAGAAGAATAAAAAGAAGAGAGAGAGAGAGAACATAAAAAGAAAATCCAAACTAACCAACCATGCACAGTTGACAGTACAAAAGGACTCAATTTGATATCCATGAAACAAATCTGAAATCACATAATTGGATCACTCAAAAAAGAAACAGTGATCACTAGATGTCTAATGCACATCAAGTAATCAAGCAAGCAAACAAGGAGCAACACAAAACAGAGCTCCTTAATTAACACACAAGAACTAATCACACGCGCTTAATTAGACGCTAATCTCTAGCCTAGGCTCGAAGGAGAAAGCGGCCAAGAAGTCGTTGACCTCTCCATCGCCATTGACGCACTTGGGGAGCTCCTCCCACTGGTTGCTGCCGACGTCGCACATGAAGCAGCCGTTGGCCTCGCCGGAGCTCACGCAGACCATGAGGCGGCCGCCGTGGCCGACGCAGTTGATGTCGGCCTTCTTGCCGTGGAACGCGTGCGACATGGCCGGCGGCATGGCGGCCACCTGCCTCCACGCGCCGCCGGCGAACCCCCACACCCGCAGGCTCGCCGTGTCGAGGTACTCCGCCAGCACGACGGCGTAGGCGGCGCCGTCGCAGGCCACGACGTCGATGGAGTACTCGAAGTAGACCGGGAGGATGCGGGGGAGCTCGGCGAACGTGCGGCGCGCCGTGTCGCAGGCGACCACCGTGCCGGAGTGGCTCAGGAAGTAGGCCACGGCGTCGCCGCCGTCGGACGACGCGGCGACCACCACCGAGGAGTACTGCTTCGACGCGCTGCGCTGCATGTTGGTGGCCACCACGTCGCCGGACTTGCTGAGGAAGTAGACCGTGTCGTCGGCGCCGCCCTGGGACGGCGCGTCGTCGGGGAGCAGCGCGGCGGCGTCGGGCCTCCGGGAGAGCGCGACAGGGCCCTCCCACGAGCCCCTGGACGAGTCGAACACCGACATGGACAGGTCGGGGAGCTCGTCCGCGAAGAGCGCCACGCGGTAGGGGGAGCCGTACATGGCAATGGCGTGGAGCCGCGGCGCGCCGCCGTGGGCCCCCGGCGGCGAGGGGAGGGCACGGCTCGCGCCGGTGAGCGGGTTCGCGACGAGGAGCTCGCCCGTGCCCGGCGCGCGGTAGAGGACGAGGCCGCCGGACGACGCCACCGGGACGGCGGCGTCGGCGCCGCCGTCGCTGCCGCCCGGCGCGGCGCGGCAAGGGATCCAGGAGCGGCCGGCGGCGTCGAAGGCGAGCGGCGGGCGGGGGCGGGCGCCGGAGAGCATGAGGAACCACGGGTCCCGCGACGGGACGCGGGCGCAGGCGCGGAGGAACGTGGGCGACGCGGCGGCGGCGCTCCAGCGGCGGCAGACGGCGCGGAGGCGGAAGAAGGTGGCCGGCGGGAGGCGCGCCAGGACGCGCTCCAGAACGTCGTCGTGGAGGTCCCCGAGCCCACGCGGCGGCGGGCTCCTGCGCTTCCTGCTACTTCTCGCCGCCATGGACGCCATGGAGGAGGAGGAGGAAGCTGTTTGTGTAGGCGTTGACACGCAGACGCGAGGAGAGAGAGAGAGTGTGTGTGTGTGTGTGTGTGAATCTGTGAAGTGAAAGGCAGCAGCACGGCTGGCTCCGCTATTTATATGACGACGACTAGTATAATGATGCATGTATGCATGTCTTAAAAAATATGTAGTATAATGATGTAAAATAGTATTATACTATACTCCGTTTCATAATGTAACACTTTCTAGCATTACTTATATTCATATAAATTTTAATAAACCTAGGTATATATATGTGTCTAGATTCATTAATATTTATATGAATGTGGATAATGCTAGAAAGTCTTACATTATAAAATGGAGAAAGTAGTTTTTTAGATAATGAATAGTATTATACTTCATCCGTTTCATAATGTAAGTCTTTCAAGTATTGCTCATATTTATAGAGATATTAATGAAAGACTTACATGAATATGAGCAATGCTAGAAATTCTTATATTATGAAACGGAGGGAGTAGTTAATTATTGTATAATATTACGTTCGACGAGTATAAGGGTGCATGTATGCATGTCCACCCAGCTCAAAAAAATACTACTGCATTTCAGACAGCAGAAAATTTAAGTACTCCCTCCGTTTCATATTATAAGACGGTAGATTTATTAACTTATATGTGAATATAAGCAATACTAGAAAGTCTTATAAATATGAAACAGAGGAAGTACTCCCTCCATATTTTTTTTTGTTTGACATTGGTTAGCTAAAAAGAACTAACCAACGTCATACATTTGTACAAAGAGGTAGTAGTATTTAAGTATTTCCCGGTATTTTAGACTGCAAAAAAATTATGTGCTCAGTTGGATGTACAAATGTGCAATTTACAGGTCCATATTATTTTTAGATGCTTTATCGGATTATTGTCGCATATTATTTACTGTGTACCATTAAAAATATTGTTTTTTAAAAAATTACTGTATTGGTTAAATCCCTTGTTCCCATGTAATCTTTTGTTAAAAAATACTGAATTTCGAAGAACCAAAAAGGTTTTGAAGAGAAAAACAAAGGTCTCTTTTGGGTATTCCGGAGTTCACTCTTTAAAAATGTTGAGAAAAATCACTCGTCAAATTAAATTCAACATTTTTTTTGGAACGTGAGAAGAAAATTCAATTGTTCAAACCATTGAGTTGTAGACGTACGGTAGATCCTGTTTAGAGGGGTTCTAGCATCTGTAGTCTAAATTCTTGTCTACGTTCTACAAATACAATATACATAGTTATAGAATCTAAAAAGGTAAACTAAATATCCATCAATTGCAGTCAAATACAGTGACGTAGATATGGTCGTTGTAGCGCAGCGTGCGCGAGTTTTGATGGAAGACCGTGAACCGTTTGCTTAAAAATGCGGGGAGGTGCACGCACATTCGAACGCAGCGTTTGGCTCGTAGCATGTCTACGCATCGTTCCACGTGGTGTGACCTGCCGCACTGCACTGCTCTCCGCTCCTACTCTATGCTGCCATAAAATATTTGGATAATAAAATAGCCTCGTATTGTAAGGAGAGACGATGTGGGCCTAGATATATTGAGCTACCAGAAAATCCAATAAATACCATGAACAAACGTATTATTTCAAAAAAAAATATCATCAACGAACATAAAATATTGTGTTTTTCTTATTCATTAGTTTTTCCTTTCCTGCAATGCAATTCAATGGGCCGTAAGGAAATTGTGGTTTGCACACGACTAATAAATAATTATACCTCTCAAAATATAATTAAAAATATATTTATTCCTGGCCACGAATCTAAGCAGGTATCAGTAAATACGCAAATTTCTAAATAACTATTCCTGAAGAAATAACATTATATTTTTTCCGATCGATTTCATCGTATATGCAGAAAATATCCAGGAAAATATATAGTGTAAACCCATCACGAGAGTGAAAATTTAGAACTTACCGTTGGATAAAAATGAACGTTCGAGATTCGTCTACGTTCCATGAGTTCTAGTAAAATTTTTACTCATGAATGAATCCGCGAGTAAAATTTTATCCGTGATGACGTAGACGAATATCAAATGTCTATTTTTTGATTTAACGGTAGTTTTCAGATTTATAGATACGTGCCCCGTATATTTTTCCCATATGTTGTGTGCTCGTAAGCACAGATGGATAGCAACAAGGAAAAGATGCAGGATGATGGAGAGGGGGTTTGACCTCTGCTGCTGCAGGAATCTGCACGAATTCCAAGGTGACTAAAATACAAGTGTCATTGGCATGTGAAAGGTGAAAAAAAAAAGCTTGGAGAGGGAGGGAAGAGGAACACACATGCTCGTCGTCTCCCCATGCATGTCGCTGCTCTGCTAGGAGTAGATAATCTAATTAGATAGACGTACTACTATTTTTTTTTGTTGGGAGTACTACTATTTTATAAACCTAATCTCTCCGGGGGGCTCAGGCTAGCTGGAACTTTTGCTTTTGGCCTAGACGTGCAACCAGCTGCTGGTCCCTGTGTAGTGGTACTAGTATACGTACGAGATTTTCCTTTAGTTAATTAATTACTCAGATCAATTCAACGCAATAGATGTGTAAAGTTTAATTACTGGGGTTTAGTACTACTGGTCTACTGCTGCTATGAAAGTGTCAACTGGGCGCGCGTGTGACGTAGTACTGTTTTACTGCTACAGTGGTAACGTACGTGGAGCCTATAATATAATTGCGGGGACAAGCATGCGTACATCTTGCTTTTCTTAGGAAAAAATACATAACGCAATCCACGTATAATAAATACTTGAGAATTATCGTTGGATTTAAAAATAGACGTATGAAATTTGTTCACATCATTTTGAGTAAACATTTTACTCGCGAATTCAATCATGTGTACTCTTGATGTGGATAAATCTCGTGCGTTTATTTTTAAATCAACGATAGTTTCAGGTTTTCCGCTACATATTTTTCTCTTTTTTTTCTGCACGTATATTCATCTGCGAAGTGACCAAACCGACCACCGAAGCCTGCAGTGTGTTGTGTAAAAAACAATTTACTCACTGATTGATGATCTCTCTTTTCGCCGGGGATCGCATGCAGGCTGTACGTACTCGATCCCTACACCCCGTAACTACCACTAACTCAAATACTCAACGGGATTAGGAATTTTGAGGGCGGGTGATTTAATAAAATGAATTAAAGCGGAGGAGAAGGTGAAAGTTAATTGCATGTATATATGCGTGCGCGCCATGTACTTTCTCCGTTTCATATTATAAAACTTTCTAGCATTGCCGACATATATATATATATATATATGTATATATATATATATATATATATGTATGTTAACGAATCTAGATATATATGTGTGCCTAGATTTATTAACATCTATATGAATATGGGCAATGCTAAAAAATCTTATAGTCTGAAACGGAGGTACTATTAGATAACATAAAAGGAATGGTTGCATGTTATATTTTAGAATGTAGAGAGTATAACTAGTCAATTATTATATTAATTCTCACGTTCTTATCAATTATATTATTAAAACCACCTTTTTAAGACAATACATTTGTTGTGGAAACTAGAAATTCTCACATTAATCGGAGAAAATTTTTTAAGTAGAAATACAATTTAGAAATAACTGAAATTCGAAAAAAGGAATATTGAACAAACAATCCATTTATAACACAATTACATAATACGAGATTGATTAAAATTAGCAATAAAAGATAAAATAAATTATAAAATTACAATGATAAAAATACAGAGTTTAAGTAGGTATACAATTTAGTTTTAACTGAAATTCAAAATAAAAATAAGACATATTGAAAGAATAATCCACCTAGAACATATATAGCATGAATTAATTAAATCTCAGAATAAAAGTAAAATAAATGCTGAAAATTAAAAAAAATAAAAATAAGAGTTGAAGTAGGAATATAATTTGGAAATAATAAAAAATAAGAAACATTGAAAAAACACACAATCTATCTAGAACAAAATACGAGATTAATTAAAAATTAGAATTAAAAAAATAAATGCTGAAATTAAAAAAAATGAAAATGAGAGCTCAACTAGGAATACAATTTAGAAATACTGAAATTCAGAATAAAAGAATAAGAATTATTAAAAGAACTGTTTACATAGAGTTCTATTAATTGTTTATATTCATAGTACTGGTAATTATCATATCACATCCAATTTTATGTTCTTATATTTTGAAACGGATGGAGTAGATAAGTTGTTGCAGAGCTAACAGCATGGAGAATTGGGACACTTCCAATTTTGCAAATAAGCTCGTCGTGAATGGACAAATTACACTTTTTCTTAACATTTTGTAGAAAAGAACTTAGAAAGAATAGAAAAAAAGCAATCGAAGAAATCTCTTTCTTTGGCCTTCGTCACCAATGGAAAAGATTTGAGGCTCACTTTCACGTGGAGGGTGAAACCAGGTGAGCTTCATGAGGTGGCACCATTGCTCAATCCCTAAAGGGGCCTCCCACACATGGAGGTTGAGGTGTTGGCGAGCAAAATGAAATTCAATAACACCACTCTAGATTTCCACCATTGTTCTTGAGAAGAATCGGTACAAAGACCATAACTATTCCAAAGATCACAACTAGATGTATTTCATCGGTGAAGAAAGTAGAAGAAGCATGGCGTGTTGCATAAGAAGCCAAGAGGTGTACTTAATTGGGGCCTCAATGAGTGGGATGTTGAGGCCTCCTTGGCACAACTTGAAAACTTCAGCCACCTAGTGAAAATTTGTCGCCGGAAATATAGCATGAGGTTGTCTGCCTTGGAAAGACCTCATGGGAGATGTTGATGTAGGCCGGCATAAATTTGTTTGCCCAGATCTAGAGGCACCCTGATAGCACCCGGGAGAAGAAGCCTAGCAATGGAGTGAATCACCTCCAGGGAGAAGGCCAGTGCTCACCCAAACGCTAGGACGAGACCGACCGACGCCAACGACCACCTCAAGAACCAAAAGGGTAAAGACCACGGTAAAAACCTGAACCAACGGGAGAATCCGACTACTGCTACTACTAATACTGGAGGAACCTGACCCCTCTTCCAGCCTTCACTAGTAGAGCCATTGGAGGGGAGAGAGAGGGGTAGGAAGGAATACATTTTACTGTAGCGAATAGCCGTGGTTGCTGTTTCTCCCCTTGGCCTTGGTTAATTTTGAGCGGTAATGGCATCGTCATCTTTAGTGGAGTAAGGGTGTGTTTAGTTCACACCAAAATTAGAAGTTTGGTTGAAATTAAAACGATGTGACGGAAAAGTTGAAAGTTTATGTGAGTAGAAAAGTTTAATGTGATGAAAAAAGTTAGAAGTTCGAAGAAAAAGTTAGGATCTAAACACGGTGTAAGTTACTAGTACTGAAGACCGCCTTATCTAGAATTACCAATCTAAATTACGCCTGCTCAATTGCACTCCATAGCCTCCAACATGGAATTGATCACAGAGGGTATAGCAACACCGGTGTTGTAAATCCTCTTTCTTTTTTTTTTCAAGATTTTCCCACGGGACCCATCGGTAGATCTTGCCATATGGGGAGCAAAAGAGAGAAAAAAAATTACGTAGAGTAGAAAGCGAGAGAAGGGGGAAAAAAATGCAGGTGCAGGGTCCGGGCCCGGGGTGACAGCTAGCGCACGTAGTGTAGGGCGGGGTGGTGCAGGTGCAGGAACATGGTGATTCGCGCGTGCATCGGATGTCAAAGGCGAGAGAGAATAGACGGAGTAGTGTCCACGGCTGACCATCGCCTACTCTAGTAGTAGTAGTCCAGAGGGGAGTAGTATACGCACCGCAAAGGCAAAAGGCAAAACAAAAGCAGCGAGAGAGAGAGAGAGAGAGGAGACGACACGCGCTGCCTGCCTCGCCGTGCCGGTCCCTTTCTCTGTCTCGGATCGGTCTCACCATGGAGTCCGTCCGTCCGTCCGTCCTCGTAGGGGAATCTCTCCTCCTCAATTTCTCTCTACAAACACTAGCAGCAGTAGATCAGGCTATTTTTAGTTCTTTTTTATCACATCAACACATTAACAACTAAAATCTAAACTTTACGTTGATCTAAACACAGCCTAGAGTAGTCTCTCCTCTCTGCCATTGCCAGTTGATCAGTAGAGTGGGTTGCAAACGGCCAAGCAACTGTGGGTTGGGTTGTCGTGGATGGATGGATGGATGCTTTTGCTTTACGCAAGTCAAATGGGGGACGACATCACATCGCTGCCCCTGCCCTGTCCGTCCTGCCACCCGGCCGGGGACCCCTCCCTCTGCACAACAACGACGACTCGCTCGCGTTGCACTCCATCCAACCACCCACAGCCACCGTCTCGTCTCATGCATGCTGGAGTGGAGTAGTAGCAGCAGCAGCAGCAGTAGATGCGAGGAGTACTACGAGACGGCTACTGTACTACAGTGTGCTATTGCTACCGCCCACATCTCATGCTCGTTGATTGGAGGGTACTGTAGCAAAGTCACCGTCTACAGTCCGTACATACCTAGTGTACCGTGTACGCGACCCCTTCCGTCGCAACATGCCCATTCTTGTGTCCTCCCTCTACCAGTACTCGCATTTGCAGATTTGCTAGTATGCTGTACCTCTAGCACAAATACCACTCTTACTAAGGGCATGTTAAGTTCCCCAAAAAGAAAATTTTTAGGTGCCACATCGCATATTTGACCGAATGTTGGAAGAGTTTTCGAATTTCATAACTCGCCTAGAAACCAGGAGACGAATCTTTTGAGCCTAATTAATCCATCATTAGCACATGTGGGCTACCGTAGCACTTATAGCTAATCATGGACTAATTAGGCTAAAAAAGATTCGTCTCGCGATTTTCTCCCTAACTGTGCAATTAGTTTTTTTTAATCTATATTTAATGCTCTATGCATGTGTCTAAAGATTCGATGTGATGTTTTTGAGAAAAAAAATTTAGGGAACTAAACCAAGCCTACCAAATTCACAGCTACTCCTATCTATTTTTCATAGTAATACTATCTATATGCCCTAATATATGATGCTGGTTATATTTTTGCTCGCCATCATGTAAAAAGAATCAGAGAGTGTATTTTTGCTCGGCGTTCGTATGCTTTTTGTTACAACTTACTTCACATGCTTTGCTTTGGTGTTATTCCATCTCGCGGGGAGTTCTGTTTCTTTTTTTTTCTTTTTTAAAAAGGGCTGGAAGCCCCACATTTCCATTACCAGAAATTAGGTAATTTTACAAAACAACATGACCTTACATCAAACACAACTATCACATGTTTTTTGGCATTAACAAGGTGCCATCCCACAATATTCTGCCAAAATTAACCTTCAGCTAAGAAACCACACGCTGCACGGCAAGGACTCAGAACCAAGATTGGCTTAAGGCAAGGACATAGAACACCCAAGGATCGATTGGAAGCAGAATTTCCAACAAGGATATACAAACTCTTCTGATCTTCATCGTCTTCTATTCCAGTCTTCTTGCACAAGTCCTCCATCCAAACCTCAAGTTGAAGATCTCATTTACCACATGTTTCATAAGACCCGTCCCAACGATTGCAAAATACGTACCTAGCATTAAGTGAAAACGTGGGTTGATTAGCTTTGATTTATTATGCAACTTTGGTTAATATACATAGGCTACAGTGAAATCCACTATTTTGTTTTTTATTTAATTTTTTTTAATGTGAGGCCTCATTTTGTGTTTCACATCGGGGACTTGAATTTTTAGGTATATGACTGTGGGAAAATATACCTACCAATCTCTTTAGACAAATCTATCTAAATAATTTAGCCTTGTCCCGTTTGTCTTTTGTCTTATCAGCTACAACCAAAAATTGAATTTTAAAACCCAATATTTAAGTTGATTGTGAGATTTTTTTTCATTATAGTCTATTAATTATATTAATTTTTAAATCACTAAAAACATAAATATAAAAGTTTTACTTATAAATTACTATTTTTGGTTAATTCATTCGATTTTTTTTCATGGCTTATCAGCTGTAGAGGTATCGACGAGTTACTTAATTTCTAAAATCAAACAACCTATTACATATCTACATAAACACCCACAAGTACATGTAAAAAAACATACGAGGTTATGCCTCGGTTTGTTCCAAAAAAAAGCAGGAACTGGAAGCATAGGGGTAAGCTCTTTATCTTGCACCATCTATATATTGCTGGCAAGAATAAATGTATATATATTTTTACTATTTATTGCATAGTAAAAAAATAAATTTATAGACACCACATATGTGCATTTGCATGCATGCGGTGGCTGCTGCGGTTCGTCTTCCCTTTTGTTTTTCTCCGTCTTTTCCTTTTGCAGAGTTTCAGTGCGAGCAGGAGATGCTACTAGTGCCTGCTGCTGCAGGCTCCATCTATCTTTCTTGGTCTCGGGTAAATCCTGGCCGGATGCGTCTGTCTTCTTCCTTCACCAGATCGATCTTCATCGCGGTATATTGTGGTAATATTGCCGCCTGCTGCAACTCCCCAACCAATGGCGAAGCCTAGTCAAATATTACTGTATACATTACTCCATATTTATATTTCAGTGGGATCATTTCTCTAGCTAACGATGTTATTACTATGTATAGAAAAAATATGCCAATTAGTACCACTATAATTTTCTTGATAAGATGAAATAATACTGTGTTATTATTAATAAATAATGCATATATGAGGAAATAGATATCGTACCACAGCGAAATTCTTGCCAAATACATCTGCAAACATTGTAACCAACAATGCAGGGCTCTGCAATCCCCAGAAGCCTCATGGCCCAAGTGTGTTTTTTTAAGAAAATGATGCCCCAAACCCAAATACAGATTTCCATCCGCTGTTCAATATTTTGACAGTCCCATCCAAGGTACGCGGGAATTACCCACCATAAAATTATGTTAAACATGGATAAACAAGAGGGTAAAATTTTTTTTGCAACGGCAAAAATGGATGTTTCTATTTTCTTATACATTGTATATTATATCTCAGTGCGCTTACTGATCTATATGATGTGCAGAAAAATATTTATATAGTCCTATACAACACTGGTTGAATTCTATCTAGAGCATCCAAATACTTCAGCTAACATTTGTACACTTGATCTTCCCAAATAATAAATAGGGAATCAAAAAGGCACCATATAAATAGCGCTACCCAATCGAAATGAGCAAAATTGTAATGAATCAAAATCTATACACGTCACCCCAAAAAATGGGTCATTTAACGAGTACTTCCCTGCATTTAAAAGGTCACAATGTTTCATGACCTCGTTGAGAGAATTTAATCGTTATCTTGGTTGTTCTCAGCCCCTTGCTTGCTAGGGACTACTGCTGGAGGTGACCACTGATCTGGAACAACAAGAAAGTAAGTCGACATGGCTTTTCTGAACCTCATCTTGTACTGCTTCGGTGATATTACTGTAGGTGCAACATTCTTTGGTCCGCCCAATATTCCTGAGGTTTTCACCCATGTCTCTAGATGTTTGTCCCATGTATATTGCCTCATAAAATCTATGATGCCCATCACAAGTTCATGCTTCTTCTCATCAACACCAACAAGTAAAGAGTAATCCATTACACCTATGGACTGCAGCAAAGTTGCCAAATTACATCAAAAGTTGCACCGACAAATTGCAAGGTCAAAAGCATGCCATATAAACTCAGCAGGAATTATCAGGCAACAGCACATATTTAACAATCGAAAGTAGAAAACTGTCAAGATGAGGCACCACCAACTGTAAGCAAACATTGCATCAATGCTGACCATTTCCTTTTTTTTATGCATAGAATTCATCTGCATAAAAGAATTGCGCTGCTGGTACAAGGCAAGCCCCCTATGTTTTAGAAACGGATTGCATTGGGTCCAACAGGTTCTCATATTTCATATTGTGATCACATATTTCCAACAGGTTCTCTACTAGTGCTTTTCTTCTATTTTTTCAGTCAAGAATTCAAGATAATACTAGACTCCTTTACCAACATGAAGAATGTGTAATTAATTAATAAAAGCAGAGAAGAAGAGTCTTAAGGAGAAACAAAAACAAGAGGCACATTTAAAATTTGAATGAGTTGGCGAATATCTTGAGCTAGATTACAATAATACTTACACAAGCCAGCCGATCTGTTCCAATATCAATTGTATCCTGATGCATACATAGCATTACCTGCCAGAGAGTCACACCTCCCTAGCATAATTTGGACTATTTTTGTTATTATCATAAACTTTATATGTTTCTCACAAAATAATTGTGGTTAATGTTAAAAAGGCATGGTGTAATGGGTATGATTTTCTAAGAATGTCACCTTAAAGGGTTACAGCAGAAACAACCTTAACGAGAACTACTAAGTTCTATAGTTTCTCCATCCAAAAGAGCCTCTTTCTACTTTAAGCTCTATATTTCTAGACATTCTGGTAGTTCGACCGTGATTTTTTTTGGTTTCGGTATCTCTGGAATATGAGTGGGTGACTTGTTAGAATTTGCTCCTATTGATAATACATAGAAAGGGCCTGTTATCTCTATCAAGATGATTCTAATTCGTCGGATATTATTTATTCTAGTATTTGGAACACGAAATAGATAGAATGGATCAAGAAAAAAAATGAAACTATGATTCATATTAACTATTCAGACCTCACAACCAGACTGAAAAAAATCAAGTAGTTCTTAATAAAAAGAAAAAAAGAAAAATTCTTCCTTCCAATTTTGTTTGCCCAAAATTGGGATTTTGCATGGATTTGCTTGATCTAGATGTAAACTAGAATGCCTTCTCATGGTAAGTGCAAATCCTCGAATGATGAATGTATATAGTATCTAGAAAATACAAATGTCAACATGTAAGCACTTAGCAGTAAAAGCCCGATTTATACTCACAGCAAGGAATGCAGTATCATTCCAAACGGCTCTCTCTAGCAGCCGCTTTGCCTTGTTCCCAACAAAAATGGGGGAGGTTGGCATAGCTTCAAGTAAGTTCTGATCAAGAAGTACTTTATTGCTACCATTTGAGTCGGGGTTATATCTTGATCTTGTAGATCCCTTTAAATCATACAATCTTGTCACATGACGTTCAAACAGAAGATTTTCCATCACTAGAACATCCATCTTCATCTCCTTTCCACCTTTCAGGCTCTTAACCTATGTGACATCATAGGATTAGACTCAGTAAAAAAAATCTCACAAAAGGTACTGAAGATTAAAACAAATGTTATATACAAAATCCAAAAACAGCACTGTTAACAAGATAACTTTAATTCTGGATGCAATAGTGAGATGATGCTTTCAATCCTTTGAAATATATAGGAAGGTTGCGACTACAGAAAAATCAACGAAGCTTGGATTCAGTGTCTCGATCAATTTAAGTCTGTCAGATCATTCATTGGATGATTAGGATACACTCCCTCCGTCCCATAAGAAACAAACCTAGGACATAATGTGACACATCCAGTACTACGAATCTGGACAATCCTCTGTCCAGATTCGTAGTACTAGAATATGTCACATCCTATCCTAGGTTTGTTTTTTATGGAACGGAGTGAGTAGTTAATACCTTGGTAGTATTGAGAAACTTGATTTGGAACAAAAATGAAGTTTTTGCAGGTATCGATTGCTTACATAAATTTTGCTCTAAAAATAAATGCCAATAGTTATAAAACTTTCCAGTATCATTTGATCATCTTTTAATTTAATCAAGCAATAAACTATGCCAAGTTAATTTTATTAGTATTTAGTACTTAAATACTCCCCATGTACCAAAATATAGACCGTTATCAACGTTTTAACAGTCTCCAATGGAAGACTTTGATTATATATTCTAATAGCAGTACATATTAAAAATTATATATGATTGAAGTATATTGCAATACAAAAATTTATCAATACTATTTTTACGCAGCTTTACATGTATTAAAGTACCAAAAAGGTAGACGACTACAATTCGGGACACTGCTCTCCCACGACTGTCAAAAAATTACTAGCAATCATTATTTTTTTACTGTGATACCAATTATTTTTTATGAGCAGGTTCTGCAATCAGAAAAATGAACTTACCTGATAAATACCAAGAATTTTCGCAATACAAGTAGGACTGCCAGTCACAATTGACTCTGAAATATATCCAAAATACTCTGGAGCAAATTTCATGAAAGACTCTAATTCGGTCTTGGTAACCTGCTTAATTATAAATCTATCGTCGAGTGATTTTGCGAAGAATACATTGCTTTTTCCTCCTCGAGCACCCCATTTCTTGCAACGACTAAGTGACCTGACAAAATCACGCTCTGATGGGCAGCATATTCTCCTCAAAGCATCAAATTGTTTTGCATAGTAACAAATTACAGTATACTTCACTTGTCCTAAAGGACCTTCATCTCCAAAATTCACCTTTATGTGACTTGCTTTTCTGTATGCGAGTGGATCTGAAGGGGATGGATTCTTGCCTCCTGACAAATAGAGGATATTGTCCTCTGTAGAAACAAAACTTCTTAGAAGTTCAGAAGCAGTTTCATCCACTGATTCAGTTAATGAAGCACCTCTCAAATCAGTTACTGAGAGTGAATTATCTGTTGTGTCGCTTTCCAGTTCATCTGATAGCTGAAGATGATATTCATGGGAAGCAAGCGCATAGGAGATGATGCTAGTAGGTTCATCATCATAAATCCCAACAACAGTGTCATTAACACCAATTGGAAAGAGAAATTTGGGCCCAACCTGGCGCTCCACCGTCCTAAGAAAAGAAACATGAACAGGAGTATATTCATTGAGAGCATCAAACCTGTTTGAGCGACACCACTGCTTGTTTAGAGCACGGTAAAGTTGTAAGAAAGGCATCCCAAGCCAGTTGGACTGGTCCTCTGCACTATCGCCTAGCTTGTTCAGGAAGACAGAGGCATATGAAGGTGTATCAGTCACATGTTCTTCTGAATCCTCTGAGGATGCCACACAATCTGGTACTATCGCACTGCTAGGGACAGGATCATTTTTACCTGTCCATTTTGCATCAAGCGCATTAGAAACATCCAATAAACTGGGAAACTGTCCTTCTGAAAGGGTGCGTCGAGCTACAATATCAGATTCCAGTGGAACAGACTCCACATTAATACTGACGCTGCTGTGGAGAGGTGTTTTGCTGCCCCTTTGGATTAAATCAGATTCACTTATGGCTATTTGCTGGTCATGGTTAGGACAGCTATTACATGGATCAACTCCTGGGCTATTCCCGCCATCAATGCTCTCCTGAAGGCACTCAACATATTTATGATCTTTAAAGGAAGCCTCAGTTGCACTAATTTCACTTTGAGGCTTTTCTATGGCATTTTGCTCAGCAATACTACCTATAGACTGGACCATCTCTTTATCAGCTGGCTTGAAGTTATATGGTTCTTGATGACTTCTATCTGACCTTGCAGCAGATATCAGTCTTTGATCCCACAAGTAAGAGTGGAAGAGTAATTGCCTCCTCAACCTATTGATCTCAAGAATGTCTGGTTGAATTTTCTGCGTCTCCTTTTTGATAACTTTATTCAGACATCCCTAATTAGCGAAAATAGAAAATCAATCAAGCAATAAAAAAAAACAATGCATACATCCAGGTAAGAGGCATGCAACAGCAAAATTTCCGCATAGAACGTATCTTGATTCTTGCCTTACTGAGGATGCATATATGGTTGTATATAATATAAGCACTTCCAGGGGTTTTAGCAAAGATTAAGGTTGAGTAGAAAAGACTATGATGCCCCTCATTAAATGAGGGATGGTTGGTAGTAAGATGGGAAGAAAATTAAATGAGGGGTGGTTGATGGAACAAAGTATACGCAAAAGTGCTTATATTTCATTACGAATTTCAAATGCTAGAAGTGCTTATATTCAAACAGGGGGAGTACTATCCATAAGATGCTGTTATGTTAAGAACTTAAGATTTTTTTTTTTTTGCAGTCGCTACTATGCCCAAACCAAGATATAGCAAGGTAGAACTGAGTTGTTTTTGTTAGAAATGTCCCTCAATAATCAATAATCAGATTAAACCTATAAGATCGAACATCTAAATATCCAATTGTTTTGAAACAAAACGGCTTTCCTGTTTGCTTCTAAACCCCAAAATCAAGAATATGTATTCTAGAAATAGCAGAGTTGGGTATTCACTTGTCGGTAATATAATTTTGCTAAATGACACATCTACAAATGCTAGATCTTCCCGACCTTGTACATAAAATAATCATGTTATAGTACAGTTCAAGTATGTATGTGGCTACTTGCACAACTGCACATAAAAGCATGACCTTGGAGGCAGACCAGTGGTGTGCCTATCCCTTGACTTGGAAGTAAAAGTAGATTTAAATTCAACGATGGTGCAATAAAGTCTAATCTAGAAGGAACTATACCTCAAATTCTAACTTCTCCCTTCGAAGAATTCCTTCAAGGTCAACAATGTGATTGCCGCATTCCATGTTAAGAGAACCACTATGAGCCCTTTTGTCAGAGTGCTGATGTAAAGCCCGTGATATTTCATCAAAGAGAACCTTTGCACGGTCAATAACCTGCCAAGATTTGGTGAAAAATGAAAATCTCAGCAATCTAGGAATAACAAGGAGCAGTTTTGCCATAAGGACCAACTTTTGGACCAAGAATTTGAAAAGAAGTTCAGCTAACTTAGGAACTTTAGATTTATTTTCCAAACCTACTATTGCTGCATGCTACGCACCTCATTTGCTTCTTTTTGTATCCAATCCAAAGGCTGGTGACTGAAATCAAGTTTATAAGGCGGTACATGAATAGAATGAACATTAATTGGCGCATATCGGAAGCATGCCACCATTTTTCCAAACCTGCAAGCATAAGTATGTGAGAAACCAAGTGCTCACAACATTGAATTCCAGATGAGATTTTAAGCCACTCTTCAATAAACTAACTGAGTTTAATCAAGAAAACTATATGTAGACCACTTACCCATAGAACCGAAGGCAGTCCCTATGGAGAGAGTGACCACAACTGGCTACCCTACTTGCAGCTGCATGATTTGAAAAGCTAAGTTCCAAAAATTTACCAAGTGACAGACCCCAAGCAGCATCAGACATGACAATCCTTAGAGTTGCTGGTGGAAATCCATTGCTCCAAGGGCACTTTAGACATCTGTGCCACATCCAAATCTTCCCATCCCTTTCCCCTGGCAAAACGAATTCTGTATGTTTTCTAACTGATATCGTTAGACTTCCCTGCTGATGTGTGTAGCAATGGACATGAGCTTCAGGTGGTTTGTCGCAGGAAATGCACTGATAACCCTGTATATATCCATACTAAGTACTGTAAGACACGTGCAGTACAGTAAGCAAGAAGTTAGAACAACAAGTATAAGAAAGAAAAAAGGGGGAAACCTGATTAAATAGGCAGTCACGCAAAAACCTTCCAAGAGGCTTGTCAAAGTTACCATAATACTTTATGCGTAACATATGTGAACGCTCACAAATAGTTCCTTTCCAGACACATCGTATGGATAATGCGACTAAGATGCTCTGATGATCAGAAGCCATAATTTCTTCCTTATTTGATGTGCTCTCATGTCCTTGATTAGTTTCTTGATTTTGTACAGCAGTACTAGGCACTGGTTGCACCATCACCACATTGCTGTTTGTGACATTTTCCACATTAGCCAAATCAATTGAACCATCAAAAGGCTCCTTTAGATTAGCAAAATTAGTGATGTTGGTGCTGGCCTCAGATGTGCCATGATGACAACTACCATTTGAGTTGGCTAAAACTGTCGTCATTGTCTTAACATCTGACATGGTTGAACCATACTCATGATAATCACCAGAATACCAATTTTTCTCTAGAGTAGAATATGTATATGAATGATCCATAAGTACACCAGATGTTGTAGCTGAAGTTGCAGTTGCCTTCTCTATTCTATCAACTGTCTTGCTGTTCAAACTACCGCCGTTAGCAGACCAAGTTCCAGAAGAATGAGAGAAGGTAGTTCGAGTTTGAGTAGTGCATTCATTGGACACTGGTGGAACATCTGTTCCACCTGGGTCAGTTGATCTAATAGAGCCTGCGACAGGGTGCTCAAAACCATCAGTTGTTTGCCGGCTGTTGGAAACATTAAACGTGAAACCTGGCACTGTTGAAATAGAGCTGTCTGCAGTAGACCGGCTATCTGGCAAGGCTACAGTCAATGGAGATTCCAATGGAATTTCTGGTAGGGTAGCACCTTCATCTGCAAGGAAAGATGTTTCCAAGGCCAGGTGATATGCTGCAAATATGCCATATTGTACCACATGCTTTATTTTCTTTAGCTCATCCATGCTACCACCCTTCAGCAGAACCTGCAAATTACATGAGCAAAAATAATGGGTTTCAGGGAAAGATTACATTTCATTATTGAGTAAATTGCACTTTGCACAGGTTAGATTGACTTTTGTTTCACTTTGCAATGTGTTTAGTTACAATTTTCACTTTACACCAGGGCTTACCAAAATATCTTTCAAATAACACCACCCTTTGAGTTTGGGCTTGCTGCGAACGGCATCCACGCTGTCCTAGTTCAGCCATGCTGGTGATGTGCCAATCGAAGCGCTGGGAAACAACCACGATCTGCTCGGTGCCGAGCACAATGGTAAGATGGTCAAGGGAGAGAAAGCTACTCATAATCTCATACGTTACAGAAGCAATTATTCTGCTCGTAGGCCTTTCCAAACTAGCGATCAGAGAGGCGCCAGATGGTCTAATTCTCTCAAAGGAAGCGGCCTATTTCTCAGGCCAGCTTTTGCGGGATTAGGCCTTTGTTGAAATAACAGTGGGTTGGGTTACGTATTTTGATGTTACGGGGATTGATTCTGCGATGGTTTTTGTAATAGCTATGGGTCAATTAGATCGACAAAGATTGGCACACTCAGTAAAAGTTTTCAGTTTGGGATAGAAATTGTGGTCAATTTCATGAATTTGGATCAGGTTTCAGATAAGTATGCGTGACGATTGATTCAGGCTCCAGTTTTCTTGAAAACAAATGCAACTGTGAACAGAATGGTGTCAGCAAACTCAACAGTTGTTTCCCACACACTTCGATTGGCACATTACCAGAGTGTTGAGGACAGCGTGGACTTGTGGAGGCAGATCGGTGCATTCGGCTTGAACCCAAACTCAATGGGTGGTTTTATATGAAGGAAAATTTGCTAACACCTGGTGTAAGGTGAGAAGTTTGGCTAAACTCAGTGCAAAGTGAAACAAGTATAAATTTACCTGGTGTAAAGTGTAAATTACTCTTCATTCATTCAATGCAAACAAACTAGGCGGTGACAGAAAAAAAAAGTTTAGCTACATGAATTAGTATTTTATAAAAATTGTAGCAACTGACCCAACCCAAGATTATGTGTAGCAAAGGAGATAAGCTACCACTAACATCACCCTAAGTAGCTTTTTTTTTTATGCAAGGAGAACTCTTCATGCTTGTTGCCCATTTATACCAGATGAAAAAAGGGGGGAACAATTTAATACTTACAGTGCAACCTAATGGCTTTGGGCATCCTTCAAAAAACATCATGGTCTTTGGCATTTTCTTTGCTGTATTATTTGAGTTCACGGAATGTTCAACGTATTTGTCCACATAAAACAACTCACAATGACCAAGCTTCTGAGACGGTAGGAGATCAATAGAAGGAACGATATGAGCATTTGTGCAACGAGCTATTCGATCCAAAAGGGGCCTCTTTATATTTAAAACGAGTGATATGTTCTTTTCTAGTAGCAAATCCTGAGCATAGCGAGAAACTGTATGTTCAACCAAAAGCAAGTTAGGCTTTTGAGCAACAATCTTCGCGACTGCCATTTTAAGATGATCCGTTTCCTGTATATTGGAGAAAACAAGCATAAGGTCATTGAAAGCTTGATATTGTATACAAAAAATATGAAAAAGGTTCATGAACCTGCTGGAGCAACGTGTCAATGCTTGATAGCTGATTCGTGACTCGCTGGTACTCAAGAGCACCTGCTAGTAGGAGGAGACGAGGCTTCTCTATTCTGGATGTCATGCGCCTATGTGCAACATTCTTCTTACAGACTACTCCTTTTACAACAGTGCTGAAAAAGCAATTGGATGCAGGCTTCAGATAATAAGTAAACTGATTAAATGTTACATGAAGATAAGGAATTTATTGATCAAACTAATACTACCTGATGGTCAAACAATATGAAGGGAATTATATGTAAGTAGGATTAAGATACCAATAGGGATCAAACATTTACATTATGAACTGTGAAAAGACATTCACCTTTCACTACGGTGCCCACACGCTAAGCATTTGACCTTAACATATCCACCAGGATCCATGCCACCACCTTGGCTTGTGTCTGGTCTGAGAAAGTTTGCAGCTTCCCATGATACTGAAGTAACAATCTCCAACCAACCTGTTTCATCACCCTCGTGTAATGAAATATTCTCCACCTGCAACAGTTGTGAAATCAAAGCCCTGAAATGCCCATCGACAACATTCTTCATTACTTTCTTATGTTCTTCACTTGACCGATCTCTGTTTCGGAATTCACCACTACCAAAGCTACTGGATGATCGAATGCGACGCTGCTCACTATCAGCTACAGGCTCATCGTCATCGTCATCATCAAACAATCCAACTTCCATCTCATCTTCTTCATCTTCTGGTTCAGGAGGAAACCAAAAAAGTTCATTCTTCTCAAAATCCAATGGATTTGTATCAGTACTTTCAAGAGCATAAATGGACGAAGCAGCCCCACACTCAGAACTATTGTCAGGATCAGGTTCATCATCCATTTTTGTGACAGGCAATGTGCTGGGGAATCCTTGGTCAGTCGCATGAGAGGATACTTCTTTAGAAATTACATTTTCTTCAACTGTCGGAGATATTGTTGGATTATAGGATGATTCAAGCTCATCGAACTCATCTGGACCATAATAATGGTCATTATGCTGTTGATGTTGTACCTGCCTATCAGAGCAGTAAGCAGAACACTCTTCTTCTTCATCATCACTCCTGAAGAAGACTATCACACGATCAGAAATCCTTGTAACTTGCCAATTCATCAAGTAACACATAAGGTAAAAAATCAATGAATATTCAGTGTCAAACTCCTGTGAAGTAACAAAGTAAATAAAATATTTTTAGCCTTCTCAACCTTCTCTAATATAGGTCATCATAGAAGATCGATACACTTGTCTCTTGTTTTCGGGTCATTTGTCCTTGCTGCTTAAATGCGACTATGCTCATGAATAATCAACTCATTTTCTCCAATGTTAGTCTAAATAATTTAACTACTTTCTCAATTCTTGTACACAAATCTAAAACAACCTATATTTTGAGCCGCAATAAGTATTCTTTGAAGGAAGCAAAGCATATTCTACAATTCAAAATGGGTTTCATCATACATGTCATTTCATAGTAATACCTGTTTGTGTAATAGCCAAAATGAACTGAAGAAGTCTCATCTTTGTTTGAAACAGCGGACATACTTTTCTCAGGCACATGGGTGTCTAGCATATCATGACACACTTTGTCTTGGGAACTTTTGGGTGGACTAATGCTGGAAGCACGAGCCACATGTTGATAGTGTCCAGTAGAGTAAGATCCAGCTGTTGTACTAACACTATTTATGGTGATAGCTGACTTGGTGCTAAACAGACTTGCCTCAGACAAGGAAGGACTAAGCAATGGCATCATCTGCTTGTTAGCAGCGGCTCTCTCTTGCTCCCATTGCTTAAAGCAAAAGTTGCAGACACGAATTTTGTCCCCTTCATCGATATTTCTGTCAGGGCCACTTGAAGCTGGGATGGAATTTGTGGTGCACTTGCCACAAAAAATGCGACCACAACGCCGACAGTGATGCCTGCGGTTGAATATGGTGAACTGTGTGTCACAATCATAACAGACTCTGCAACTGTGATCAGGCATCCAGAAGTCCCTAGAGACATTGTCTGGGTTTGACCGACGTGGCAACCACGACGTCAAAAGCTTTACTACATCAGCAAAAGTTTTATCAGAGGCATCCATGGGTTGCTGCAATGGTACCACCTAAAAGAGCAATTCATACTTGCATCCTCATCTGCTGCAACAAAAATCTAAGAAATTAAGACGTACATTAGAACGTATTAATGCAAAAACTATCCAGAATTTAATGCATTACATACAAGATTATAGACCCACAAGAAAGCAGTTTTGCTATTTATCAGTTGCCTGGCTTTTCTTATCTATCAGTCATCTAAACTTGTGCAATATTTTTTTTTGTTGTTGTTTGATACTGGTAACAACCAACATCAAAGCTTTTTTTTTTGGTAAAATTTAGATTAGAAATTCACTACAATAAAAAAACACATAAATTTGATTTGTTGGATATTAATCTAGTGTTGAAAAGTGTTATTGATAGATAAGAAAAAGCCAGACACTTGACAAATAAATAGATGGCCCATAAAATTATTATTAATAATAATGAAAAAGTTAGCAGGAGCATAATGGAACTCTAACAAATGTAAGTTTTATATATACTGACAAATCTAACAAGGTAATCGCCTAGACTATTACTGTACACAAATATATCTCTCCATGTTTGCAAGAAAGCAACATATATCTTTCTGTGTAAATGAAGAACAAAATGGAAAACGGATTAATGAGCATTCAAGAGCCATTGTGACATGACAATACCTAAAAGTGATAATGAACAACAACACAACAATCCCTAAACAATCTACAAACTTAATTCCTGAGTTACGTGATTCCATCAGGAAAGGCGATAGAAAAAACCGTGAATTACATATTTACACACACTCCTTCAGTGTGGCAACATGGCAACAGCCCGACGGAATCAAATAATGCCAAGCAATATACCTAAGAAATATCAGGAGATCGATCAGGCCAACCACCATCTACAGACCTCGCCCCCACATTGCGTCGGGTTCCGCGGGAGCGGGAGATCGAGCGAGAAGATGGCCGCCACCGATGGCCAACACACACACACCCCACCTTACGGAGGCGACGCGAGAGCTCCCCTCCCCTCCCGAACACACCCAAGGCACCGTCTCAGCGTCCTGTACCGCCCCCCGCGCCCGTGTCGCAGCGAGGCGGCGGGGGCGGGGCGGCGGCTCGGAGCGTGCCGCTGGGCATTCGTCGTCGTCGGCGGCGGCGGCGCCAACACGCCCGCGCGCGCGGCCTACGCGGTGCAGCGCGCCGCGACCGCCGGCGGGAGAATCTTCCGGGGGGGATCGAAATTCCGCGCCGCGAATCCGGCGAGAGGAGGAGAGCGACGAACTTGGAGGAGAGAGGGAGGAGTTTTGGTTTCTGTTTTGATTTTTTTTTGGGGGGTTAAATTAAATGTTTTGTTTTGGTGGGCGTGGGGGCGCGAGGGTGACATGTGGGGCCAGGGAGGCGAGCAAGTCGCGGAGGGGCCCACAATGCGCGCCCTTTTGGAAGCAAATGAGGAGCTGCGGTTCTCCTCTTCCTCATTTTATAACACAAGGAATATTTTTAAGATACTTCGAGGAGGTGGTAAGTATACTTAATTAGTCAAATGGTGTGGGTTTAATAATGCTCGAGGAGCGAGAGACATGCCAGAATCCTGGAACATGCAATTTTGTTTTTATTATAACTCTTCTGTCAGTAATCATGTTATGTACCCATTTTAGTAATTCTTTTTTTCTAACATACTTCTTCCTTCCCAAAATAAGTGCAGTCATGGTTTTCCGCGCCCAACTTTGACCGTTCGTTTTATTTGAAAATTTTTTGAAAAATTTAAAAACATAAGTTATGAGTAAAATACTATTCATATTTTATCATCTCATAACAACAAAAATGCTAATTATAAAAAAAATTTAAATAAGACGGACGATTAAAATTGGGCGCGGAAACTTATGGCTGCACTTATTATGGGACGGAGGCAGTAGATTGCATGACAATTTTTGTTGACACAAATCCTACGGGAAAAAAAAGAGATGTTTTACCTTGAACCAGAAGACAGCATGGATTACGGTTTAATGCTACTCCTAATTGCATTGCATAGGAGAGGCGTGCGCAATGGTGGTGGTGAGGTGATTGCGAATGCGATGGGGCCGCAGCGCGCTACCTCAGCGGCGGCTGTGGGCTCGTGTGGTGGGGAAGGGAGATAGCTCAAGTTGTGGGCCCGACAACGCGTGCGCCGCGGCCGGGCTGAGTTGGGAATAAGTCCATTTTGGCTCCCTTACCTAGTGACCGGATCTAAATCGTATCGTTAATCCGTAATACCGGATATCTCGACCCCTAACTATATGAATTTAACCGGTGTAATTTGACTTTCTCGGTGGTTTTAGAGGGCAGTTTTGCTAACTGGACACCTACATGACGGTGTTGACCCGGTTTTCGTCCCACATGGCGTTTTTTTTAATTCTAATGCCACGTAAGCGTCACGTCAACACTACGTGGGATGAATACCAAGTCGACACCGCCATGTAGGTGCCATATCAACGAAACCGTCCTCCAAAACCGTTGAGGGATTCAAAGCGGGCTTATTCCCGCTGAGTTGTTGGTCGGGAAGGGCATCAATATGGGCCGGTCAAAGGGAGAAGGATGGTGATGGGCCATTAGTCCATGAAGGAAGAGGTTGGCCCGTCAGGCTACACTCATGGGCCAGAAGAAATGGAGGAGGACAGCCTGATTTTGGATTCTCTGGATTTTCATATGTGGTAAGTCAGAGGCTAACAGTTAGGGGTGGCAATTTCTTCCGTGGGCCGGGTCCCCTGCCCCCACCTGCCCCTATAGGGGTGGGTGCGGGTGACGATTTAACCGTGGGTGCGCCAGGGCCAGGGCCCTGCATTTGTGTGGGTGAGGGACGGGGGGCGGGGGGACATACCACCTGCGGGCCCGGGGGGTATATTACCTCTTAAAACATAGCCCATTAGAGGCTCAAAAAACACATCTCAGTGAAAGTCATATATAACCAACCAGCAGACCTAACCCTAGCCGACACACGGAAGCTGAGAGCTTGAGATGCACGTCGAGCGGAGGATTCACGCGCTAAGACTCTGAGAGGTATTTCTTGATCTATATTTGTGGAATGATGGATCATGAAAATATTTCTGTTTTTGCTGAATTTTGATGATGCTATTCAAGTATTCATGTATTCATGCTCTTTTCGATGATGTGTCACATGTGTGAAGTATGTACAATTTTTTTCCTTGCTAAATTGACGATCGTCTTACTTTTTCGTAGATTTGATAGAGTAGCTACTCACTGCAGGGTATTGGTCAGGTTGCGGGGCCACGCAGGGGCCGGGTTCGGGGGTCGGGGCAGGGCCGTTCCAGCCCAACCTGCCCCGTTGCCATCCCTACAAACATTAGCACAAAGCAGAAAACACAGTGAGAGAAAGAGAGACGCAACTATGAACTGCTCCTCTGGTAGTCTGGTACACTTCGCTTCTACCGTAGCGAGCAAATCAGTCTTTATCTTTCGTCATGTAGTTTGGACAGCACGATTTATATATAGTGATATTCCCGCGTTTTCTTAATGAGTTGGTAGTTTGGTACACACATTTTCTGTTTATATCCGTATCACATAGTACATACTCCCTCGGTCCCTAAATATTTGATGCCGTTGACTTTTTTAAACATGTTTGACCGTTCGTTTTATTAAAAAACTTTTGTGAAATATATAAAACTCTATGTATACATAAAAGTATATTTAACAATGAATCCAATGATAAAAAAATGTCGGTGATATGGGCCCGGGGGTACGCACAGTAGAGGGAAGTCGCCTTCCCGTTTGGCCACGTGGCTGCGCGGCTTGGCCTTCCCCCGCCCCCTCGGGGGGCGATCAGGTAGCGCTGAGGTGGCCAGGGGGCCTCGGGGTGCCGCGTCACGGCCCTTGGGCCCTCGGCGCGCGCTGCCCTGAGGCCCTCACCCAGCCACCACGTGGCAGGGAGAGTGGGTGGAGCAGGAGGCTCTGCTCCGCGCCTTCAATGCGCAGCACCCCAACCGTCCCACGCCGCATTTAATGTGGCGTGGGCGGACGTGCGGCGCCGCTCGATTGATCTATGTCAATCGAGCTTGACCTGTCTGTGACCGGTCAAAAGCGATTGGACGGGTGGCAGTGCCCTCACGTTCCGCCCTGTGTCAGGCGGAGTGGGGGCAGGTATGCCCCATCCCATCGGCACACTGCCAGGAGCGCCCCCGCGCATGGTGAGCCGCCAAAGTCTCCATACAATTAATGGGGAATGACAAGGGCGTCCCCCGTGTCATGCGGAGGACGGTGCTGGCCTTACCTAGAGACGCACAACCACCTTGCTTCCGGTTGAAGGCACGGATGGAGGTCTGATCCAGGCTTGGTGGATCCCCCTCCCATGGAGGGGTAGGTATAGACGGTGCATGTGGTATCCCCTTGAACTATAAAAGGAGGACTTCGCCCACCGAGAAAAGGGACGACTCTCAGTAACTCGAGCTCTAGAGGAAGAACAGTTAGGTTTCCCCAGGAGCTCAAGACCCCTTGTAAGAACTCATCATAATCCCACGCACAGGAGTAGGGTGTTACACTTCCCAGCGGCCCGAACCTATATAATCCCCTGTTCTCGTACACAAATTCGCAGCGATCTAATAGTTAGACCGCAAGCGAAAGTACGCTCTTGATCATCACGCCATCTCCTCCGGCCGAACTCACAAAGGGGGGTCTTACGACCACCCGCTAGAGAGGGTTACTCCTCGACAGAAAATAATTCATAATTACTTAAATTTTTTAAATAAGATAAATGGTCGAACATGTTTAAAAAAGTCAATGGCGTCAAATATTTAGGGACAGAGGGAGTATATCATTTCTCAATTTATTATTTATAGGAGTGTAGTTATTAACCCTTTTCATATTGATGCTTGTGTAGTTTATTTATTTATCAAGTTGTTTTTTTAGATAAAAGTTTTTACGCTCAGCTTTACTAAAAGCATCTACCCTATAATTCACTCAGTATTACACCTACATACTCATTCATCAAATTTAACGGACGAGAATCATCCACCGCTTCAGATCCAACGAACCATACCTCCCTCACCTCCCACCGCACACCGCTCCCACCCACGAAAACCGCATGGCGCTATCATTGCCGGCTCGCCGCTCCCTCGCTCTCCCCGCGCCGCGCCATCATCGCTGCCGCCCACGATTCGCCACCGTCCCCGCACCACGCCGCCGCCCCTCGCCTCTCCACCGCGCCGCCCCTCCACCAGCAGCCGTCCCTCACAAATCGTCACCGCCGTCATCAGCGCCGCCTCGCCGATCTCCTCTGCGCCGCCGCCCACGATTCGCCGCCGTCCCCACACCGCGCCGCCGCCGTCCACGATTAGCCGCCTCTCCACCGCGCCGCCGCCCCTCCACCAGCAGCCGTCCCTGACAAATCGTCGCCGCCGTCCCCACACCGCGCCGGCGCCCCTCGCCTCTCCACCGCGCCGCCGCCGTCCCCACTGCGCCGCATCGGCCTCCAAGTCTCCGCCGACTCCACCGAGCACGACGAGCTCAACACGAAGAGCTCCAAGAGAGGCCCCTCTCCTTCCTGCTCGGGTCGGCCGGATCTAGGAGGAGCAGAGGCTTCACCGTGGGCTTGGTAGGGATACCGGTGAGCTCTCCCCCGTGACTCCTGCCTCCTCTGGTACAGCGAAATCAGTTCTTCCTCCTCTAGGGCTTAGCTTGTTCCTTCTATTCTGATTACATGATTAGGTTAGGGCGAATTTTGTGAGGGCTTTGCTGTCTAAGATTATGCGAGTAACCAAGAACCGATGGTGATTCAAAATAAGAAAAACGATGGATGCTTTGTTTTTTTTATCTTCGACTTGGGGACTTGGGGTTGCTATTACTCGTGAGCTTGCCCTAAAATAATTGAATTCAACTAATCTACACTTTAGAGCATCTCAAATATCATGTCTTTTGTCAATCCAAATAGCACATATACTGCAATGGTTGAGAACAAATTGGATGGTGCTGGTATAATTTAAATGTTTAGAAAAAAAAAGTAATGCAGTAAACACAATGATTCATGGAATAAAATCAACAAATGGCGACGATCGCCATCTCTGAATCAATGGTAGTTTACCCCTGCTATGGATATATTTCCTGTATAGAAAATGGTTTATTGGATAATGTATTGGATGTCATATTGCCAATTCTCCATTGATTTTATAGTAATTAGAACTTCACATAAAAATGCTGATGTCATGCAATTTCAATTTTGTATACAACTAGCAAATTGCCTCGAATATCATTGGAGTAGTGGGTATGGTGGCACTGATTGCATTGATGGTCTCTTGAAGACTTTCTTTTTTCATCACTTAGCTGTCCATGTTCATTGATATTTTTTTTTGGCAGTAGTAATCATATTAAGACTATAGTGCAGTTTCCAGTTAATCAGAAGCAATCAATTGAGGGAAATTGAGACTCCCAAGACTTCCATTTTCAGTCAATCAAAAGGTTATTTTTTGTTCTCATTGACAATTTCTAACTCAAATTCTGGACAGTCCAGCACGACCTCGGCCAAGAAGGCAGCAGGTCTACGCCACCTTCTTCCCGTGCTGATGCCGTGTCTGAGCCCTACCTCACCACAAGTACTGCTCCATTTCTCTTTTTGAATCACCACCGGTTCTTGATTTCTTTGTGATCTAAATATTAAAGATGTTTATTCCATTGATTAAAGATGCTTGCCATTAGGAAATATATATATATTAGCTGCACGTTGTGTAGAACTCAAGAATGCTTAGAGGCACTCCATGCATGGGTTGTTTTAGCTGCACATGTACTGTCCGGCTGTTCAAATTTGAGCTATTTTCCAGTTAATTATTTAATTAACTCTTAATTATCTGATTCCTCAAATATTTTCCAATATAGTTATTCCTTCAACAAAATAATTGACATATCAGTTACTTCTTGCGGGTAACAAACCCACCGCCGGAGAGCACCTTTTGTTTTCTTATTTTCTTATTTGTCTGCCCTATCAAGTAGCACGCCATTTCAATACTCTTTATTCTTCCAGCAGTGCACATTATTGTGCCATTTCATATGTTAGCTCTAAATTCACATGTGTTAGCTCTAAATTGACATTATTATACAACTTCCAGCAGTATATGTCTTGCTCTGAATTTGCATGTGTTAGCTCTAAATTTAAGATGCTTGATATAGATTGTCCTTATGATGCTAGCTGCAATGACCCCATTATTTCAATGTAAAGGGGGGGGGGGGGGCACTTTACTATTATTGTTTTTTGATGTATTTAAGACGATCAAATCCTGTGCACTGAATGTTAGGGTCATTCAGTATTATTCTTTATCTTGGTGATAATCTGAAATTCCGAACTGTGATCTTCTCCCAAACAATATGCTTACATGTTCCCTCACTTTCATTTGGCACTATGCTTAAATTATTATATCGTCTCAAACATGATCTAATAAATCATTGCATTTAGCATTCGATCAGAATGAAAGTTCTTGATTAACTTGCATGTTTGATCGATGAAGCCAACAAGCTGGTGAACAATTTGATCCTTCGTCAAATTGATGCGAGGGCCCAACCAATAAACCCACTAAAGCTAACTCTCCGATTGTGTAAGAGACTTACAAAGAAACTTATGGAGCGTATGTGTTCCCAGTAAACACCATAAACTTATGGAGCGTATGCGAGGGCCACAGCTTACAGCACCCCCACCACATTAGGATTATCACCATTGAAAACACAATCATTATGGTGTTTCCAAATCTCCTAGGCTACTAAAATAATCAAAGAATTCAATCTCATCCATACCCCTTTTGGAGCAACCTTAGTGACTTTGCTCCACCATCCTAAAAACATGTTGTAGAAGACTAAGGTGCAGCCAAAACCAAACCCAATTTTGTGAAGATTAAAGTCCATACTTGTCGGATCATGTACTTTTTGCTGGCTTGAGTTACCAGATTGATATCCATCTGGAGGCAATCCACATGATTGGGAGGATTCTTGTCTTATCTAATCTTTGGTTTGGTCCTGAAAACCAACTATTTATAAGGAATTCTTGAAGAAATTTCTGACAAATCTTTCAGAAGTAAGAATTGCTACAATTAATGCAGAAAAAATCTGTTACATGGCTGTGTCTTCTGGTAGTGAAACGAAAGGTATTATTAGCAAGACTGCTACTTTTATCTGTTCTTTTATTCAGAGTTTTGTATTACCATCTTTTTCACACTAATATTTGGTTTTATTTGGCATCATCACTTAAGGGGATGTTGTTTGATTTTGATGACAAAATTAGGATCCAAGCTATTTCTGCGATTTAGCCTAATCAAATTTAAGACCATGCCTTTCTGAGTTGATATTTCAAGCAGCAGACATGCTATGCGATAAAGGTCAGCACATTGCTATTTTTCATTGCTGAAGGTTCTATAAGGTGCTTCGTGTAAATTTACGCCATGAATTTGAATTCTGATTGGACATTGGTAAAGTTTTCCATGACTAAATTCTTATGCATTTACCTTACAAATATGGATCTGCTCTCCAATTGACCACCCTTATATTTTGCATCTTTATGCATTTACTGTACAAATATGGATCTGCCCTCCAATTGACCACTCCTTTACATTTTGCATCTTACTGCATTTACTGTATAAATACGGATATTGGTAAATCCTGTGATGGCTCTGAATTGCTTGGTATCTGAAAGTAACCAGTTGATGCCAATGGGTCTACGTGCATATTTCATGATTTTAAGATTGCTAACGTGATGAAGAATTCCAAAATGGAGTTTTACCTGTGATGGCTCTGAATTGCTTGGTATCTGAAAGTAACCAGTTGATGCCAATGGGTCTACGTGCATATTTCATGATTTAAGATTGCTAACGTGATGAAGAATTCCAAAATGGAGGTTGAACCTTCTGAGTTAATGGCTTCTTAGACAAAGCCAACTGATGTGTGAACTAAATTGAGTTTAGAACTGACTTTTATTTGAGTCGAACTATACTTCAAATAATATATTTTGTGTTAGTACCTCTGGATAGATATCGATATTTAAGAAAGTCATTTTCCATAATTCCCCTAATATTTTAGACAGAACAGTAGGCTCAGACTGCATACTATTTTCCAGAATTTTGCATTTTGATTCAGCAGATTCTTTTGTGCATTTTAGTTTTCTATGGGCTCGATTCTCTTGCAGCTAGACTTGGTCAACTAACAAATTTGCAGGCTTACATGCATGTTTAGAAAACTGAGAGAATATCGGGCACATTAGCAATTCCTGATAAGAGAAGCTTAGAATCTTTCATGGGGAGTGAGGATTTGAATTCTTAGTTTTTACCTCAATTGACAATAGAAAGATTTGTAACCAGGATATATATCATGAATTAGCGATGTTTCCTTTGTATGGACCTATGTGTAATTGATGATTTTAAAAAATACAACACTTGTGATGTTATTTTACGCATGTGATAGTTTTAAATTTGTCATGATATTTTCTTTTAGTTGTTTGACTGCACTTATAAATATCACCGTTGCGTTAGCACGGGCATATTACTAGTACAAGTACGGTACAAAAGGCAAAACAAGACAGCTGGGGGATTACCATCGAAACGAGATAGAGAAAAAGAGAAAGCAACATCCACGGCTGCTCCACAACTTCTAACGAAAATGGATACTCTAATTTAACTGTTGTGCAGTTGAGCCATTAACATATGAGCCATAATAAAATGGGACTCACATGTCAGTGACTTAACTCCATGTGCAGTTAAGTCAGAGGATCTGCTTCCAACTACTAACACGCCAAGAACTGGTGGTGTGTGTCCCAGGGTTTTCCATAGCAAGATAAACACCGACACAAACTTACGGTATACAGAGATCTCCCTATTCTAGAGAAACTGAACACTACGATGCTCCATCCCCCTGAGTTTCAAGTATTGTTTAGTACTCTCATCTCATGGATATTGGCATGCATTGACTCCTTTAAAGCATCCAAATCTTATTCTAGCTTCAGAGGCACCAGACTTCTCATGTTTTTGCTGGTATTTTGGTACGTCATCCATATTTGAATCAGTTTTCGGTTTTAATTGAAGAATCAGTTTTAACTGAATATGATTTTTTGGCCCGTCTATTTTTTTTCACCGTTTTTTTATGTTCGATTAGGCTTTTTTTATCCACTTGTGCTTATGGATTGGGCCCGTTTGTGTGCTGTGCTGCAGAGATACAGGCCGAGCGTAGGGAGGTATTGAACTAGACTAGGGCTGAAAATGAAGGGAAGCAGGCTATGTGAGTTGGGCCTGCAACTCTACTTGTGCTCGTGGCTTGGGCCCTTTTGTGTGCTGGGCTGTAGAGATTCAAGCCGAGCGTAGGGAGGTATCGAAAATAACGTTTCGGCTTTTTTCAATTATAATGTATAGTGATCCCAATATTTCAATTTATTGTTCGGCTTCCAATAGTTGAGGCATCACGAAAAAAATGTCTTTACCCGTTGCAACGCATGAGCATTTTTTCTAGTAATTTAATAACAAAAAAATATTTTTGACGTTTGCATTTTTTTTTAAAAAAAAGAGCTAAATGATCAAATTTAAAAGTAACTAGTAGTCGCTGTCAGGTTTTTAAAAACTGCGAGACGGAGACGTTCAAATATATAACAATTTCTAACCTTCAAAATTTATTTCAAAACTAGGATGGTAGCCCGCGTATTTGCGCGGGCATGTATATCGTAGGCTATATTTGAAAAACTTACCAGGAATGAATATCAACCATACTTGCCAAACTTCAGAAATATGTTTTCTTCATAAATTTATTTGCCGACTTTGCTTAAATAACTTTTGTTAGGTATCTGTTAACTTTCTACTATGTAATATTTAATGCATCCGTATACGTAATTATCATTTTCTTCTTCACCATTTAAAATGGAGATAGACTTAGTTCGTTTAGAAAACATGTGTAACAAATTAAGTTCAAATTAAAAGGTAATATGTTTTTTCTTTTTTAATTGAATGTTTTGGGGCTTTTTTTTAATAAATCTCGAAAAACTATTATTGTTAATAATGTACCATCAAGCTAGCCCTCCTTTTAATGGGTTCATATTAATTTGTTATACATATTTACATATGCATCAATGAATATAGAGTAGATATATCCTGATTTTTCTTCCGGGAGACATGCACATGTACGTGCGACATGAGGAGGGGAGGAATTCAGTTTCCTTTGAGATAAATCCAATGGTTTGGGTCTTGAATTATAAATTTTGTAATAAATAATCTAATGATGTACATAAAATATTAGCTCTATGATTTAGATTATCACAAAATATATTTTCTATACAGTGGAGGGGAGCTTGAATATATAAGAGGGGATGATGTAGCGTATGTACGTGCACCATACGCGTAAACGATATGGACAGCCCCTATGGGCCTTAGGGGCTTTTACTTTTTGTTAGCAAATTTAATGGTCGAAAATAGTGGGTCTACTAATGTCGAGGGGTGATCCTCTCTAGCGGGAGGCTGTGAGGCCCCCCTTTGTGAGTTCGACCGGGGGAGCGGGTGAAATCCTAAGAAGTCTCTTTCGACGCAACTGCGGTGAATTTGCGGGAGCTAGGCCCACAAGATGGAGATCAGAGAGAAAGTGAGAGAGGGATTATACAGGTTCGGGCCGCTATGAAGCGTAACACCCTACTCCTGTGTGTATCATGATTCTTCTGTGCTTAGAAAGTCTCTGAATCCTTGGTGTACAAGCTAGGGCTAGACAAGCTTTGGCTTAGGGATCCAGAGTTCGATCCCCCTTTCCCGCTAGGCATGGTCCTCCTTTTATATTCTAAGGGGATACCACATGTGCTGTGAGTGCTACCTAGGGAGAAGAAAAAATATTCTCTATATTAATTACATGTCTTGTGCCTTAGCCCAGAAGCTATCTGCACGTCGGCTGCTGCGCGGGGCCCATCAAATCATGCGGGGCGCCCTTGTCATTCACCGTTTAATGGATGAGGACTTCCGGGTTCCCGTTCGTACCAGGAAACGGGAACCCGGATCAGTTCAGAGTGGTTGGACCAGCTCTGACCGGGATAAGAGGCTGTGAAGCCCCTCATCATTATGATGGGATGGGACGGAGCACGCCGCACGCCGCTTGACACACTGACAGGGCAGGGGTATACAGTCGTAGTCCCATCGGTCATTCGACCAGTCACAGACCGGTCTGATGCGCAGCACGCCGCATTAAATGCAGCTTGGCGCGGCTGCATGGACCGCTTTAAATGTAGCAAGGTGGGCGTTAGGCACGCCCACCTAACCCTGTACACGTGGGCTGATACGTGGAGGGGGTCGGGGCAGCCCGACCCCAAGCTGGGAGGGGGCAGCCGCCGCTCCACCCCAGGCTCGACCCCCCTCGGGGGGAGCCACGTGGGTTCGGGAACGGCCCGACCCCAAGCTATGAGGGGGCAGCTGCCGCTGCGGCCCAGGCTCGACCCCCTCGAGGGGAGCCACATGGGGTTCGGGGCGGCCCAACCCCAAGCTGGGAGGGGGCAGCTGCCGCTCCACCCCGGGCTCGACCCCCCTCGGGGGGTGCCACGTGGGATTGGGGGCGGCCTCCTCCCTCTCAACGTGATACCCCCGGGCCCATATCACCGACAACTGAGTTTAAAGTAAAATCAATGGTTAGATGTTTTTCTTTTTCTAAGAATTATTAGAAATTCCTCTAATTTATTAGAGCGCCACGTGGTGACTTAGGAACGTTTATAGGAGTCACATGTGGCGGTTTGAGAGCGTTTGTAGGAAATTTAATGTGCTTTTAATATATAATAATGGATGTTCGATCCATTGTTTCTATTTTCTTAAGAAACCTCGCGAAACATTTACTACTGACAAATGTATATTATTTGTACCATCGTCATCACTTTAATTGGTTCATATGCATATAATTTGTTATATGCTTGCATGTGAATTAGTAAATATGGAAGAAATATACTTACCGTAAACATTGTTTCTCTATGATACGTGAGACCCGTATAATAGTTAAAAGAAAAACTATAGTCAATCTAAATAATATTAATATTCATACATAGTAAAATATATCAGAAAATCGAAATGAATTTTAAAGTTGGTTATGCGTGCGTACAAACAACGGACATGCTCGTAGCCTATTAATATTCATATATAGGAGTATTCACATTTTTAATGGTCTATGCATATAAAATAGACTAATTTATCTTTATATCTAAAAGATATGGAAGCCATAGTAATATTCTTTTGTTTTTTACCTCTAAGTCCATTAAATGGTAATGTATACTATATTTTAGAACACTTACGTACAAATCAGCCGATTTAATTTATCTCGTCGGTTGAGCATATTTCAAAAGACATAATTAATTAGATATTATTGCATCCAACTAAAGGTACAATTTTTTTTTATAATTTTTATGTTATTCATAGTTAAATTTGTTCTTTTCACTTACATATTATATATCTATTTTTTCTATGCATGCTTGCAAAGTAATGTATGATGATGTAATATATGTTGTTAAATTATTTTACAATTTTTTATGACAATTTGGATGACATTCAAAGTGTAGGAGTGTGGTCCCTAGATAAATTAAATTTATGCATAAATTTATTTTCATGGTTGCATTTATAATTTTTATTTTAACACCGTCAATCTGATATAGCTATGCAATTTTGTGGAATAACTTAAGATCACATAATACATGTTTATTTTATTTTTAATGTTTCTTTTATTTGAAAATTTATTCACGGCGTATGTTCGTTAAATGGTTTAAGATGACAAAATATATGTACATTTTTTTATAATAGCTTGTTTTTGTTTGATTGATATGCAAAAGATACATCGGCCTAACTACATTCACCTTCCTGCGTAGATTATTCGATTCTAGCTATATTCATTTCATATTAATCAATATATATCAATCAACAATTGCATAATTTATATGTGTAGTACCCTGATAATTTTTTGCTAGCCTCGCCACTGAAAGAAAGGGTATATATCTATGCGATGCCCTAATAATTCTTTCTTGGGTTCGCCGTATCCAGGTGACGTATTATAATTTTTTAAGAGAAACATATGATAACATTTAAATAAATAATAGTTTAAACAAATTAAAAATTGGATATGTACTCGAGAGTTATGATTGTTTATCTATCTAATTATTACTCCCTCTGTATTTTAATGTATAAAGCCGTTAACTCTTTGACCAACGTTTGACCATTCGTCTTATTCAAAAAGTTTATGTAATTATCATTTATTTTATTGTGATTTGATTTATCATCAAATGTTCTTTAAGCATGACATAAATAATTTTATATTTGTACAAAAATTTTGAATAAGACGAATAGTCAAACATTGATAAAAAGACAACGGCGTCATAATATGGAGGGAGTATTTTTTTTATATATTTGGTTGATAGCTAAAGAATAGAAGAGAAATAGGAGAGACAGCAGGGAGATGGGATCCCCCCTCAGACGGAAGGGATGCTTTTTTTTTTTTTGTCTTTTTGAAACTTACTAGAAAAAATACCCGTGCGTTGCAACGGGTAAAATTATTTTTGGATCGCTGTACATTTTTCTTTGGTTTTGGACAAATACTCATTCCTTATTTCCTTTATAGTCCTAGCCCAGTCCTCTACCTCCCTCTGCTGGGCCTACCTCTCCTGCCTCTCTAAGACCTAACCCACAAGTGTAGCTGCAATTCCAGCTCACATAGTCAACTGCCGTCTTCAACCTCTAGAAGACAGTCTTGTGTCCATACGATGCCAAAACCGATCCTCCCCATCAAATTCGGTCGAATCTGTCTCGATCTTCTAAAATTGGTTGAGGACTTTTGATACACTCGATCTCCTCTTTTTGTTTTTATCAAAATCGGAGTGAATCCGCAAAACTTGATAAAAAATGACTTTCAATTAGAGATTAAATTCGGTGAATTAAAGTAGAATTGAATGTGGAAAATCATGAGAAAATGATGAGAGAGTAGTGGGGAATTGATTTTTGCAACTAATTGAATGAGGGAAAGCATGGGAAACTAATTGATTTTTGTCGACGTGACGACAGCGCTAGGGTTTGATCCAATGACGAAAAAATATGGCAGATAAAAAAATCCTACCAAAAAAAAAGTAAAAATAAAATAACGGATAAAAAAACGAAAAAAGAGGGAAAATGTAAAAAAAATGGAAGGAAAAAATAGACGGACGGAGAGAAACGGAAAAAAAAGCAGGCAGAGAAAAAAAAGGAAAAAAGGGGCGAGAACAAATGGGAAAAAAAGTAGACGGAAGGAAAGGAAAAAACGGAAAACCAAAAAAAAAAGGGGAAAACGAAAAGCAAACGGATCGGAAAAAAAGAGGAAAACGGTGAAAAAGGAAAGGACGGATGAAATTTTTTTTACCGGAAGCTTTGCTTATTTTTTAATTAGGTATAGAAATACGTGCACAGGGAGAGGGAAACATACATATTTCTTTTCTCGAAGATAAGAACTAATAGTGAAAACTAATAATTTAATGGTCAAAAATGTTTGGTCTAATTTGAATTTAAATAATATAATTAAAAAAGGAGGGTGGACACCGGCCAAGGAACATGGGGAAGAGGACGTACTATATGTACGTGTATAGGACAATGATTTAGTTTTATTTTCTAAAAACATATTATAAATAATTGTGATTTCCATCTAACTAAAATAGCATAAAAATAGGAGAGAAAATGAACAAAGGGGAGGGCGTACACCCGGTCAAAAAAAAAAGGGGGGAGGGCGTACACGGAGACGTACATAAGCGACACGGGAGGGGATGTGATTTTTTTTTTTTTGAAAAATGGATCTAATGACATATAATGTCGGGTCCACCATATAAGTGTAAATCTAATAGATGAAAATCTAAAATAGTAGGTCCACTGGTTAATTAGAGTGCCACATGGCTGTTTTGGAGTACTTTTAAAAGTCCACGTGGCGGTATAGGAGCATTTGTAGAAAGTTTTATGGACTTATAGTATATAAGAGATAGTATATAAGAGATAGATATAACAATTTCTTTACCTACATTTCTATTCCCAATCACCCACAAAACTTGTACCATTTAAATTCTACACTATTCGCAACCAATTATAACATTCTTATATTTAATTTCACGATTTTTCTTAATATCCATATTCCAGCTTAAAACCATTTTACGTTCTAAGGATGAAGGCAATATCGTTCTTCCCAGCACTAATGGCCCATTGTTAGAGTATACCGAATGTACGACGTGATGATTGCAGTATGTTATGGCAGGAGGTGACGCAGAACCACATAACGTGGCACCAAAACTAGCCATGGAACTCATCTACCCCTGCCCCTTGTCCTGTCCCGTACTCCCGTGTATGCTACGCGATGGTCTCTCGATTCCGTTAGGTGCAGCTGCGCAGGTGACGAGCACGAGATAATTTTCAGATTTTGCACCCTATAAATCGAGCCCGATTTCGTGCGTGTACTCCGCGAGCCCATCCCATCTCATCTCGCCCTCTTCTTGGTTTTTCTCGTTCTGCTAGCTAGCTTCATCGACGAAATGGTCTGTGATTACACAAGCAATGCAATGTTTGCTCGATCGATCGGCGTCAATGGCGGCAGCAACTAATGAATTACAATTTGTGTGGGTGCAACTGCAGGCCGGGTCGACGGTGGCGAAGATCGGGCCGTGGGGCGGCGACTACGGCGGCCGCGACCACGACGTGACGGTGGCGCCGCGGCGGCTGCGGAGCGTGTCCCTCCGCCACGGCAAGATCATCGACTCCATCGCCTTCACCTACGACGGCGGCGACGGCGACGGCGAGCTCCACTCCGTCGGGCCGTGGGGCGGCGACGGCGCCGAGCTCCCCGAGGCGGTGGCGAGGAAGCTCGCCGCCGGGGAGCGGCCCCCCGGCGCCACGGTGGCGGAGTTCACGTTCGACGCCGGCGAGCGCGTCACGGAGGTGCACGGCACGGTGGGGCCGTTCGGCGACCGGGACAGCCTCGTCACCTCGCTCAAGCTCGTCACCGACCGCCGCACCATCGGGCCCTTCGGCTACGGCGCCGGGACGCCCTTCAGCGTCCCCGTGCGCGGCGACGGCGGCGTCGTCGGCTTCTTCGTCCGCGCCGGCGCCTACCTGGAGGCCATCGGCGTCTACGTCAACCCGTGCATCCCCTCCGAGAAATGAATTGAATTGAATTTGATCAACACCACCGATATGATATGATCCATCCAGTTACCACCCGGCCGTGCTTAATTTGAATGTGTTCTCAACTGTTTCATATTTTTTTTGATTTATGGCCTAATGTTTCTCAAACTATGGTGCATTCAAGAATAATAACAGTGCAGTATTATGTGCTCACAGAATTAAAGGGCTCTTTTGCTGCATCCCCTTGTCATTGACAATAGTTTCTTTTCTAGTAGTAATCACCATATTTTACTTAAATATTATTAATTTGGATGACTAATGGAGTAATTCCGTAAGATTTTAGGAAGACACCCAAGCATACATACAGTGGCGATTCGCGAATGTACCCTCCCTAACATATAATCCAAAGAGATGGTGAAAAATAGCGGCAACTTACAAGTCTCACTAATTTTCTATTAAAAACAAATCAGCATGTGTGAAATATTTATAGGCATCGTAATTTAAATTATGGTGGGCGGACCCTACCACATCACCGGTTCTTCCTTTTATTACTAGGAAATAGCAGATCAATGTATTAGCAGCAGCAAATTAACATGAAATCCATTTTTAACATATCCTACTTTAGGCTTGGTGACAAATATGTAGCCTTAAAAATGTTGTAGATTCATTGCAAAACACATAATTGAGAAACGATAGATGGTTGTGTTCTTCCCCCCTAGTTTCTCAACTTCTATTCCCTCTTTTTCCGCACCCATGCCTTCTGAATTGCTAGACGGTGTGTGTTTTTTCTTTAAAAAAGTCTATATGAAAGTTATTTAAAAAATCATATTAATTCAGTTTTTAAGTTTTTAGAGCTAATATTTTAATTAATTATGTGCTAATGAGTCATCCCGTTTTACGTGTGGAGGGAAGAATTTCTAAACGCAGCCGTATAAGCGGCCGCACAAACACTCTCCCAAAAACATTATTACTGCGCCATGCAAGTTTCCACAACAGCAATAGTGTGGTGACAAAGACTCATTTTAATTATCCTCATGCTTATGTGTACGATTTATTAACAATAAAAATAGTTTATGGAATAACAGTTTAGAAGCAAGTATTATAAAATAATAAAAACACAAAATTAATTTTAAAATTTAAAGTTTGATTTATAATCATAATCATAAGCAATGTGGCTTGTATACTGCCCAGGGCGCGCTCACTCTCCTTGCCGGTGCGTGGTAACGAAGGAATTAAGCCGATGAATCAATCTAGCACGATGCACTAAGTTCTTGTCCACAAATGAAAACCACACGAAAGAAAAACCACGGCATATGTTCTCAGCAATTTGGTTTTACATTTAACTAGCTAGGTGTCATCACTTCATCTGTTCACCATGCTTCAACAAATAAATTAAGTATTCATTGATCCAAGCTCCTTCTGTTTCAAAATAAATAAATCTAAAATAAAATAAGACACTTCCTCCGTCCTAAAATATAACAACTTTTAGCCCTCAAGATTTGTCCTAAAATATAACAACTTCTCCACCAACATTCTCTTCTCAACTAATCATAACCCTCTACCATTCACTTTTCCCACATTGCTCCACTGCTCATTCAATTACAACTCTCCACCATTCACTTTTACCCACTTTCTTAATAATCGTGTCCAACTCTAAATTAAACTTCTTATATTATGAGACGAGGGAGTATTATCTTATGTTAAGATTTGTTGATCTACGTAATATAATATCCTAACCTATCTTAAACTAAATTTATTTATTTCTTGGATGGATGGAGTAGTTTGGAATAACGGTAGGTTGAGTGTCATCTGGATCAACCACCAAGTGCTGTACTCATTATGGCTAGTACGGAGAAACAAGGAAATGATGGGCTGATGGCTAGTACATATATAACCTGTGGATGCTGCCATGAAAATAGTGGCACGGGAGCTCCTACCTTCGCATCTTTAAATAGAGAGAGTACTATATCCGTTCTAAATTATTGTTTCTTCCGTTCTAAAGTATAGAAAATTTTAATCGAATGTGATATATTATAGTATTACGAATCTAGACTTTTCAGATTCGCAGTATTAGATGATGTTCTACTATGTACTAGGTAGCAACATTTTACGATGGAGGTAGGATTATACTCCCACTATCTTGAGATAAACCAACTTAGCATATGATGTGACATATGCTAGTATTACAAATCAATTGCTACACGCACACGGCTAGCCAGCCGCTTCGCCATGCTTGAATGTTCTGAACTGTTTCATACTCCCTTTATTTTCATATCATAGGTGGCTTTGATTTTTTTTCATCGTCAATTTTTTTAAGTTCGACTAATTCTAAAGAAAAATTTAGCAACATTTATAATATTTTACTAAAACTAATATTTAATATATTTTGATAATATGTTTGTTTTGTATTAAAAGTATTGTTATATTATTATATAAGCTTGGCCAAGCTTAAAAAAATTTAATTAAAAAAACAAAGTGACTTGAGTAATATTATAGAGTAAATTCCACAAAACTACATGTACTTTAGTCAAATTATCACAAAACTATATATTTAACATGATGTATCACAAAACAACATATTTAACAGTAAATTTACCATAGAACTACACATATAGGGTGCACTATCGCAAAACTATAAATTTAGTAACAAAGTTATCACAGAACTACATGTTTTAGATCAATTTAATCACAAAACATAAATATTATAACTCAAACATAATATCAGTGCTAAAGACTTCAACCCTAAAATCTGTTGTTTTATAATAATTTTATTATTAAATATGTGGTTTTTTTACATCATCTTAAATTTGTAGTTTTGTGATAATTTGACCAAAGTATATGTGGTTTTGTGAAATTTACTCAATATTATAATAAAACGGAGGAAGTATTTTTATGACCTCGTGAGGCTTTGTCTCGAACCTAAGTGTAGGAATAGAAAAAAGAGCTTTAAAGTTGTGTTTTATACTTCACTTTTCTCAACTTCTCCTCCTTCATTTTTCGCATGCATGCATGCTTACTGAATTGCTAAACGGTCCATTTTATGCAGAACTTTGAATGTTGTTTTTTATAAAATATTAATCTATTTATATAGTTAATTCTTTTTTAATCAAACACTAATCCACTACTCCGTTTTATGTATAGGAAGGAAAGGTTCTCAACATCCCCAAAAGAACATAGCCTGAGTGGATGTAAATTGTCCTATGAAATTTCTTAGGAATCATAGACATATGAAAATTTCTTATGCTAAAATCCTACAAATTACATGGATGAATAGTGTTCATTTTTATGGGAATCATGTTTCTACGTTTTTCGACCTTTTATCCTCCAAATCGTACGCCCATACTCTAGCTCCCTTCACTAACCCACAAAGAGCAACCACTCTCAGCTCATTACTGTCGGTTTGGTTAGAACCAATAGTGATGGAGTTGTAGTGCTTGTTCACTTTGTTGCCAATTTGATCTATTTTTTTTAAGTTTTGATATTATCAAATTTTTTATATTGTTAGATATATTTAGTTGACGTCTTTATAAAATTTGGTAGTATGCATGGGTGGAAGTTTCGGAACTACCAAAAGTACCACCAAAATTTAATAAGGTTGAAAGTGATGATAAAGTGAACCAACCCGTATTTTTTTTTGATATGAAGCAGTTTTATGAACCTAGTAAAAACTGTAGCACAAAGTGATAGATTCGATCATTTGTATTTTCTGAAATTTACTCCACAGAATCGACAGTGTCCAGTCTAGGGGTGAAAACGGTATGGAAATTTCCCAACCGTACCGATACCGTTTCCACAAAACTAATATAATAATAATATTTTTACCGATGGTTACCGTTTTTAAAATTTAGTTTTTTTAATTTCTGTCGGCGTGGCATTGAAGTTGATACTAAATAGATAAATTCATAAATATAGAAATTTTCTGACTATTTCCATTTGTTTTCGAAAAAATAATAAAATAATATAATACTGTTTCCGACCATTTCCTACCGTTTTCATCCACTCCAGTCGACCAAAGCATCAAAATATGTTCACTACTTGTAGCAAGAAAAGAAAAGAAAAGAAAGAAAATAAAAATCAGTAGCCGGGGCCTGCAGTACGGCCGTGCAGGCATTGATGGACGAGTCACGGCGTGCCGCACCGGCGTGGCGTCACGCTGGCCACGGAACGCAGCTACCCCTGATGCAAAGGTTAGGCCGTCGGTCCTCGCACACGATCGAGTCTAGATAAATTTGCACGGATATGCAACCAATAGTTTGCACACAAATCTCACTTTTGTTTGCACGGCCCACTGCAACCAAGAAGAGCAGGTACAAGAATATACTATAAATCAGCCATAAACATATGTGGAGGAGATAAAAGAGAAGAGAGAAGAGAAACGTGCTACATATTTATAGCCAGCAGTACGTACTCTAAAACGCTAAAGGTTTTATTATTAATAATGTAGTATATATTTATAGTTAACTTATTATATGAATTAGCTATTAGATTAACTATAAATAATTTAAATAAATAATTTGAAGCTAGCAGTTAAACATACTAGCTCTAGAGTGTTGTATAAATTGGAGGCTATATAGCTCTCTCCACCTCGCAGTTGGACACGACGACCCAAAGCAACCAAGCTAATTAAACCAGCCGCCAATCGATCTATATATCCATCTTTGTGTCGTGGTTGGGGGTTGGGTTGCAGCTGCAAACGAGAAATGGTCGGTCCATGCTTGCTCAGCATGATCCTGATCTCTTCTGCATTTGCATCCATGGCCAAATAATACACAGCTATTTGTACAGTTGTAGCTGATCTGTACTGTCTGATCGATTTGTATATATCTTTGCATGCGCAGGCCGGCTCGCTGGTGAAGCTGGGTGCGTGGGGCGGCGACCACGGCGGGAAGGAGTACGACGTGACGGTGGCGCCGCAGCGGCTGGAGGGCTTCTGGCTCCGCTACGGCAAGGTCATCGACTGCATCTCTTCTCCTACCTCGACAAGGACAAGAACCTCCACACCATCGGCCCCTGGGGCGGCCAAGGCGGCCTCTCCGAGTAGACCGTACGTAACTACACTCTAGGTTCAAAAAAGAATCAATATGGAACCTAAGATTCTTTTTTTAACGAAAAGAGTATCTGCAGATCCGTTTTAAAATATAGCAACCTTAACTCGATTAACGTGACGCAGATCACGTTCGAGCCATCGGAGTACGTGAAGGAGGTGCACGGCTCGTGGGGCCCATCGGGGACTACACCCACGTCGTCACCTCGCTCAAGCTCGTCACCAGCCAACGCACCATCGGGCCGTTCGGCAACGGCGCCGGCACGCCCTTCGCCGTCCCCGTCCTCAACAACGGCAGCGTCGTCGGCTTCTTCGCCCGCGCGGGGCCCTACCTCGAGTCCATCGGCATCTACGTCCATCCATTTTGAGTTCTGATCCAGGACGAACACGCAGCATCATATCCATCTTTCGATTCGATTTCCAAATTCCAATCGATCGGTCCGCGGCATCCCAATTTCAGTAGCTGTGGATCTGTGGTTTTCCTTTTTAATTTATATTATTGCTTTCGATTATGATTCATGGAAGGGACTTCTTCGATCGATTGTATTCTTTTGCCGTCTATTAATTTGTCATCTGAAATGCAAGAATATCGATAATTAAGGGAATTGGGGTGCATTGCAAGTAAGTTTTCCAAGTTTACCCCTACAAGTAATCACATATTTAGGCACACTATATAATATTCTAAGGGTAGGTTAGAAACGTACAGCGTACCAGTTCTAATATTTGAAGCCTATTTTTCTTGTTAGCACTATTTTACTTACACTATTACAGTAAGTGTCGAATATATAATTTATAAGTTATTGTACATGTCTCAAGATTTCGTTTTCCTGGTTTTCATCTTTGTCTAGCACTATTCGGGGGCCATCTGTGTTATAACTTGTGGGCATCTATTACTTTCATATATTGTGAATATTTAATTCTAGTAAGTTTTATTCAAACGGTCATTATTTATTGTTTTTATAAATTTTATTAGCATAAATATATGAATATGTATTTTAAGTCTTTTTTTCTTAAATATTGTTTTCATTTTATTACCTCCCCTCTTCTCATTATACTCCCGCCGTTTAGATTTGTCCAAAGTTTTTATATAGATATATATAATTTCTAAAAAATCATGTAAATTAATAACATGTGAATTATATGTTATGAGATATTTCTTAAGGTGAATCTAAAAGTAGAAGTCTTATGATATTTCTCCTGGTACATCTCGATGAGGTGAGGTTCTATGTACGCAGTCGCATGTCCAATGCTTCTTTGAGCTACAATGAATGCAACCCTCACCATCCTGCCGAGATACTCCGGCAATTTCAGTAGGACTTTCATAGTACCAGTAGTAGAACTAGAATCATGTTGATAACATGTTGTAGAATAGCTACATCGATAGATCCTCAGATCCGCTCCCTTCTCTCTTGTAGAAAATAAGGCGTCGAGAAGATCCGCTCTCTTCTCTCTTAGGCCTTATTCAGTTTAGAGGGGGTTGAAGGGGATTGGAGGGGTTCTAGGGGGAATAATTTCATACTACAATAGTTGTTGAATAAATCCCCTCCAATCCCCCTCCCTATTGGGGATTAACCAAACATAGCCTTAAAAAACATGAGGCCCTGTGAAGATCCGCTCCCTTCTCTCTTGCAAAAAATAAGGCGCTGAGAGGATGTAGAAACCCGTATCTCTTCTCGAACAATCACATCACATGAGACAATGAACTCAGATGTAGGAGTGAAGTTTTATCTTTATTATCAATGATTTTTTGTACAATGGATATTTCTGTTGCTTTATTTATAGGTAGAGAGATACTTAAAACGGATTTATCTCTAAAACTGATTCGGATTGGACCACATAAAAGAATCTTATCTCCATATATATTGTTCGCGTAACAACATCCGCATGTCTGTGGAAATGCTTCGATGGGCCCGAGAGTGGTGTTAATGTTAAAACCCATCGCAGGTGAACATAGAGGCCCGTTGCCCCGTTACAATCCTTGCCCAGCCCACACTGGCGTACAAATGTGGCTGGAGACCAGACCAATCCAGGCTGCCCGTGCCAAGTGAACTTAAAGAGCAGTACCAAAGGCTTGATTAGAAAAAATAAACTCTACATTACATCATTTGCATCCTGAACTGATGGGATCATACTCCAATAATAACAGCGGGAACTGAAATACAGTACGTAAACTGATAGTTTTTCTCTAGACCACAGTCATTTGGTTCAGAGAAATCTCCATTTCCATCGATCTTCTTTCAATCCCTTTCAGTTACTATTGTAACTGCGCACAATTTACACCATCCATTTCTCAGTCAAAGGTTCAAATCGGCTGCTACAATGATACAGTTATAGTGCCAAGAAGAATATACTAGCACTGCTTAACTTACGGTCACACTAGTAACTGCATGAGTCGAATTCCTCATGTTTAGACTTTAGAGTACGTTGTATACACAAATTAGCACGACTGCTAGCAAAGAATCCAATGCTAAACCAAGTACCGGGGTATTCAAAAGAGAAAATATGATCAGGCCTACTATTATTAATATTAGGAGAGAATTCTTTATATATATACCACTGTAACCAGGACGGTTTTCTTATTTACCACTTGAAATATCGCTTATATACAAACCTGCCGAGATTTGCGACTCCTGGAGATTTTTGAGCTGGCGTGGCCACCTGCGCGTGCCGACGCGTCAGCGAGGCGCTGGATGGCGGGTGGTTTTCGTGAGCTCTCGCACACCCGTGTCGTCGTTAGTGATTTTGCAAAAACACCCTTCATTTACTTGATAATTATAGATCCCTGGTCCTTAGTTCTAATGTTGTGCGTTCTTACTTAGAGGACCTCTTAAGAAAACAATATTCTATATGAAGAAGCGAAAAAACGGAAAATTGAACCGCGCTCTGAAAACTAGAAGTTTAGGGGTGTTTTTGCAAAACAAAAACAACCCTCACCCCTTTCCCCAAACCCTAGCCGCCACCATTCCTCTGCCTCCTCTCCTCTCGCTCCGCTCTCTCTCCTGCCCTAGCGACGGCCGCCGCCGCCGCCGCGTGCCGTCCCCTCATCCTCTTCTTCCCGCAGTTGGCGACCTCCCCCGCGCACTCCCTACTGCGAGCTGTTGCTGTCGCCGCGCCGTCGTCCTGCCATCGCCATCCTCTCGCTCCCGCGCCGCATCCGCCATCGAGGAGGCCGGGACTGTCGGATCCGGTGACTCCGGCCTCCTCGCCGGCAGATCCGGCCGCCCTGAAGCGAGGGGAAGCCAGGAGCCGCCTTCTACTCTTCTACCTCTATGCCCGGCACTGCCCCTCTCTCCCTCTCCCTCTCCCTCTCCATCCTGTTCATTTCCGGATCAGCGGATGCCTGCGATTAGGCGGCCACGGACGTGCGTGTGGGACGTCGAGGAGACGGGGAATCACTGGATCCAGGAGGTCGGTGAACCGATTTGGAGAGGGAGCTGCATGATCTGTGGCATTGGTGTCCCGTTCCGGACAGCGGCGGTCTCCAGTACGGCGGGTGCTGCTGGATCTGCCGCATGGAGGGCTCCTCGTCAGCTCCATCCTACCTCTTCTTCTGCCTTTTTGGAAGGAGGTGAGGAGAGGAAAGTTTCCTCTGGAATTTCATACTGCATGTTATATCTTTGCCAAGTTGGTGGTCTTAGTGTGATACTGTGATTAATTTGGACCGATGAAGATATGTGTATTGAATTTTTCTTTGCAAGTTTAAATCAGTGTAACACTATGAATGTGAGCGTGTGAATGCAGCTTGTAGTGAAGCTTTGTTGAGCTTACGCAAAGCAGTGAAGGGCATCGGTGCGGGGTTCCTAGAGGATGCTGCCACCTCCATCCCCTTGCGTCACGGCCGTGCTGCCCTGCTGGTCCTCTGGCACAGCATCTAAGGTCATCTGCCACCACAACCAGGTTGCATCTCCACCGAATGTGGCCCCACTTTGATGGCGGCGAGCTTTGCTTTGGTAGTGTTGCTGTCAATTTGGCTGTGCATTTCTTTAAGGGGTTCATCTACGATCCATTGTAGCATGCTGATGACTTTAAATTACAAATTAGTTAATGCATAAGATTCTTTGTTTCCAAGTATAAGAAATTGATATATCTTTTGTTGAAGTATGAGTATGCTGATTTGTTCCAGCAAAATATAGCAATGTACAATATTTTTTGTGGATAATTTGATAATGCTCCATCCAAACGTAGTCATGCATCTTCATCAAAATAGATTGTGGCTTTGCATTTTTAGTTTGTTCATTACTAATTATGCCCCTTGAAGGTAGTGACTTCTATAAAATTAATTTATAACGAGCATGTTTGTAACTTGACATTAGATGACCTTTTACATGCAGAATCTGAGACTAAACTTATACACTAATCACACTAATCACTACTACTGCTGCTATATATTACTGTTGTACCAAAAATATACAAGTGCATTTGATAAAGGTTGTACAGGTCTGAATCAGAACTGTATATTACTGTTGCACCAAAAATAAATTAATGAACTGTAATTTTCTCTGTATTATTTTTGGATGTGATTACTAAAGCTCGCTATGTGTCTGCTCTTTTTGCACTATAGAAAATCAATTTATCTCAATTTGTTGCACAATCCATCTATAGCTTCAATTCTATTCTAAGCTATCTAATCTTCCCAACGCCAATCAGCTGCTGCATTACAATGGATTACATTATTGCTTTGCGAATAATATTAGAAGAACCAAAGAAAACATGATGGATTGGTGCAAGATCAAAGGACTGGCATAGCTGTCCACTTCTCTTATTCTTGTAGGCTTTAGCTGGTGCAATGGTTTCAGTAGCAAAACTAGGCTATGATAGGCTGATGCCTGCCTTAACACGCCAAGACTCCAGGTGCACACAACATAGTAGATCAGAACAAAGGATGCCTGCATTGGTGCCATCCTCCAGGAGGAGAAATGGCACCACTGGCAACCAGTTTGGCTGATCGTTGTTTGTTGCCTACCTTGAGTTCACTGTTTAAATTATATTTGACATGTTCTTTACGGAAGTGAAAATTTAGTTGATTATTTGTTTACCAAATAGGCATATATTAGTTCTATAATTTGGTTGTTTGTGAACAAGAATTCTGTTGCAAGTTATAGCTGAAGATTGGTAACTCTATAAAAAAAATTAATTATCATGACATAATAGACATTAACTCTGAACATATTAAATTATCATGACATCCCCACGATGTGCAACAGAATTTAACTTGATATAAAAAATATATGATGTTACATTGTTTTCTAATTTGCATTCAGTAATGCCTATGATATTTTACAAATGTAACTGACTTGTCCTTCAGATGCTTCTCATGTTCTACATTGGATGCATCCAGTTTTTATTGCAGCTCACTTTGAATCTTCTACCTAATGCTTCTAATATTTATGCCCTTTTTTATTTAATATGTGATGATTAGGTAATGCTTAGACTAGCATATAAAAGATTGGCTTGATTAGGGTTCTAAAATTGAAGTTTTCTTTGAAACGACTAATGTTATTATTTGCTCTTGCCATAGAAGTGGTTTTTCAGGACTCTTGATAATATAACTATTGGTTTGGGATGATAAAGCTTCAGTTTAGGACGATGAGCGTTGCCCTGTAGGTTAAAATCCCATTTTAACTAAGTTATGTATTATTTGACTAGCTTGCACTTTCACCCTCTTCCTTTAAACATACTGATAGTATCTGCTCATAAAATTATTGTGCTTGCTATGATTTAGGTATTAAAATCACATACCTTTTATAATCTATGTAAAAGATGTACAACCAGAAACCAATAGGTTAACTTGACAGATTGACCTTTACAATCCTACAATACCGTCCATTCCAACTTTCTTTGTTGAATAAATATGCTGCTGTGTGCATTATTTGGTTCACATACCTGATTATTAGAAAATTACTGAAAACAGTTTGGATTGTTTACCTGTTTGTTTTTTTAGTATGGATGATCATTACTTTGCTTTTGGTTGGTACCTTTTTGTGCCACTTCCATTTGCACATCAACAAAAGGGCCCCTGTGTGAATTCGGTGAAGGCATCCAAACCATATTAGTAGAATTTAGCCATGTGTAATATAGTTTTATAGTCCTATACTCCTATGTGCTCATCTAGCAGAACTATTTCAATGCTACCACTATAAAACTACTATGTACTGTCTATCCTGCCATCGAACATGTGGCACATTTTGCTATTTAGGACTGTCCACAATCTGCATATATGTTGTGATTAGCTTTTAGCCTCTATGACAACTATCAATATAAATGCTCACGTCACAGAACTTCATTTTTTGCACTACACTAAACCTAAATCTCACACCATGTCGTTAGCTTATACTTGACCTTCACAGACCTTGCAAATAGCATTTGTTTCAGTTACCTACCAGAACCAACAGATGTAATCAATGATTTCCCTCTCCTGGCACCACTGGTGCAGTGCGCGAAGCGCGTGTTCACCTCTAGTTGACATTCATTTTCCCCCCTACGATGAACGGATCACAAATTCACAACCCGAGTGCAATTCATTCAATAAGATAGGCTCTATTTGTTTCAGTTTAAAATTATTATAATCTAGATTATTAAATCAGATTACTCTAAACTGAATTATAATAAACTGACATAAAATAATCTACGAGTTGTTTGTTTCTCTGGATTATTTGAGGCATTTAAGGGTAGTAGGTCTTTAGCCACTCAATAATCTAGAAAAAGCTTCTCTAGAGGAGATTATTGGATTATAGTAATCTGGTTTGTAGATTATAATAATCTAGCATAATAATTTATACTTGTTTTTTTCAGCTTACTTCTAATAATATAGATTATAATAATTCTAAGCTGAATCAAACAGACCTAAACTAATTAAGCTAGCTCTAGGCCATGGCGGTGACGTAGACGTGTCCATCTCGAAGACGCCGGTGCTGGGCGTGGGGTTGCCAAACTTGGTCATCAGGCTGTACCCCCTCGCCCGCCGGAACCTCCCCGTGCCGCCCACCACGGCGCGCTCCGCCGCGCCGCCGCCGCCGAAATCGACGCGGCCGTCCAACACCAGCGTGCTCCCCTTGTAGTCCCCGTCGTCGGAGAGACCGAGAGAGAAGGCGAGGGTCAGCATGGTCCACAGCGCCGCCAGGTTCCCGAGGTCGGCCTGCACGAGGAGGCCCTCCGCGCGGCCGAGGTACTGGGACTCCGCGCTGGAGCCCTCCCGGAGCATTTATATTCTCTTTTGTTTTGTTGCATTTAGAGTTCCGTTGGAGTCTGAATTCTGGCCGGTAGAATAGCATTTTCTGTTCTAGCATATTTGCTTCCTTCTTTAATTAGCTGCGATGACTCGGCTCGGATCGAGGGATGGCGCGGTCAGTATGGTTGATCCGAGATTGTCGTGATTTTTTCCGTTATACATGCAACAAACTCCGTGTGGAGATGAATAAATAGAAGATAAAACCGGAAAAGCTGCACTGTATTACGCAGCGCCAACTCTGTTCGTCAGTTGTTCTGTTCGACTCTGTTTTTCTGAACTTCTTCAGTTAGCTGTAGCTGCACCTACAAGCGTCAGTGTGTGTGTTTCAGAGAGACTGAGAGCCAATTCGCGTGAGTTTTTTCTGACAGTCTCGTGGATGTAGAAATGGAGGTGCGTCGTCGTGGTGCCATCGCCCGCGGCCGCCGCCACCGCCTCCGTCACCATGGCGGCGAGGATGGCGAGGAGGCAGAGGGTCATCTTCGGCGTCGCCGTGGTCATCGTCTTGTTAGTCTCTGTACTCTGCACACCGTCAGCCAGCCAGTATATATTTTGTTGGGTTGAATTGTGGTTGTAGTTGTTGGATTGTTGGAAACTTTGGAATATGTACCAACCTCGGTACCAGTCAAATGCCAATCATACAGAGTCAACACAAGCTACAATTATTCTCAGGCCAGTCCCAAGCCAAGACACTATACATAGTTTTCATAAACTCCATGTCACGAAGAAACTAGTACTCCCTCTGTTTCACAATGTAAGACTTTTTAGCATTGCCCACGTACATATAGATGTTAATGAATCTAAAAATATACATATGTCTAGATTCATTAACATCTAAATGAATGTGGACAATGCTAGAAAGTCTTACATCGTGAAACCGAGGAAGTATTAGACACTACTCTTTCAATGCAAACACCCTTGTTCCATACTTAAATTTAATACTACTTATCTCACGTAATGTTTTGGATGTTGTGTTGAAACCATGTCTCACGCAAGAACCGGTTTCCTTCCCTTTCCTCATTCATTCATTTGCCACATCATTTTTCATTCTAAGTGACGGCTTATTTAATGCTATGGATACCATTCTAGTCATTGGGTTGGGATTGGCCTGATATACTCCAACCATCCTAAAATACTAGCTAGAGTATGTGGATGTATTTATTAACAAAGTAGGTAAAAATAATTATGAGAAGTTGTGATTAGTTGAGAGAGAAATGTATGTTAAGAAATTAAATGAAGAATATAGTTGTAATTGGTGAGATCAAATGGTAGGTGTGTAGAGAGTTAGCTCCACTTATTTGAAACAAAGCTTGAGTGGTACAAATAGTTTTAGTTTGGAAGGGAGAGAATATTTATTTTTAGCATATAAAGTGCTCTCCAATTAAAATATTTCAAGGTATCCTCGTCAAAATATATTTGTTTTATTTTTTAAAATAGGATTGATTATTAAATAGAAGAGTTATGAAAAAAAACTGTCAAGACAATAAGAAAGAGGGATGTACAGACAGATTATACCTGATCGGTATTTTAGGGACATACGGTACAACTCATCGAGTTAAATTTAACAATGTTGTGGGAGGCAATGGTGGATGTTCTGGTAACTGTAAGTGGATATGCTCGTGAGCACTCAAATCATGGTGGAGCTGCAGGTTTGGTAAAGAAGATGGAGCGCTTTGAATTTGTATTATATTCATCATGCATTTCTTAATATCTTTACTCAGGTCATGTTTAGCTTCCAGAAGAAAAATTTTCATGCTATCATATCGAATGTTTGGACACATATATGAAGTATTAAATGTAGTAAAAAAAACCAATTACACATATTGCGTGTAAATTGCGAGACGGATCTTTTAAGCCTAATTGCGTCATGATTTGACAATATGGTGCTACAGTAAACATTTGCTAATGAGGGATTAATTAAGCTTAGTAAATTTATCTTGTAGTTTCCTAGCAAAATCTATAGTTTGTTTTTTTATTAAACTATATTTATTATTTTAAATGTGTGTCCGTATGTTCTATGTGACAACCAAATCTAAAAATTTTTCCCTAACAAGACCTCAGCATCACAAATGAGCTATATCAAAAGCTATGCAACGGAAGGATCATGATACCGTTGAAGCTATGGGTTTGAACTTGGATGTGAAAGAGCGTTTGCAAGATATGGGATTGATGTGCCAAATATGCATGGATGATCTTATTGAGTTATGGGTTAATCTCTGTTCAGAGAAAGTACAAGGTGAGTAAGTGACTCAATATCATTATTACAATGTTAACATTTTCTATGTCGTTATTGATGCAACTAAGCCTGCTAATGGACTGAGATCCAGACCAAAACCGCCCCAGTTCACTTGTATCTATAGTACACTTCTAAACCAATCCAATTCAATTCATAGTTTGCAGAAACCAAACCAATCCAATCCACTCACAGAGCAAGCCCAAACCAATCCAAACCAAGTGCAGACAAATGGATTCAACCCATTCTCAACCCATTTCCAACCCAAAGGAAATGCACAATATTACTCTGAACACCAACAGGCATCGTCATCTTCTTCCTCCTCCCTCCTTCGGTCAGCTCCGGGAGGATGAGCAGCTTGCAGAGGGCATCAATGGAGGATGAGCAGCTTGCAGAGCTCGTACAGGGTCGTGGGAGCATCTGGCGCTCCCGTGCGCCACGTCGTCGTCGCCGCCGCAGGGAAGGAGCCTCACCAGCGCTGGGATGCCGCGACCACCGCGAGCGCGTTCACCGACTCACCGTCGCGAGGCTCGTGAGCACTACAGCCGCGACCACCGCGGCTGCACCGCCGTAGGACTTCTCCCCCAAGTCCGCACCACCGCACCACCATTGTCCGCCACAAGCCCCACGTTGCCCCGCCCTTCTCCCCCATGATGGCGGCCGCGGCCACGGCCTTCGATGCCGTCGCTGTTGCCGCGGGCAGCCAGAAGATCCGGAGCCAGGGTTGATTTTTTGGGGACTTTGTGAAGGGAGAAGGTTTGCCAGAGGAGGGAGAGGAAGGTAGCAAGCCACCGGCGACGAAGTCGAGCTAGCGATGGCGGCGATGTGGTTGTCGACTTCTCAAGGAGACGATGGGATTGGGGCCAATCCAGTGGATACCCATGGGTTGAATCCAATCTGGGACCAAACTTTTGCAGCCAAAACTAAACCAATCCAAACCATTTCCCATCTCCATCCAAACCAGTCCAGTCCATCAGGTGCAGCAACCCATTTCCACCCGCCCAAAGCTAACCCACACTGAAATCCAACCCACTATATCCACTTAAACCCAGTCCATTAGCAGGCTTAGATGCAACTTTGCATGAAATGAATCATCACTTCAATGAAGTCTCCTCCGAGCTTGTGGTATGCATGTCTTGCCTTGATCCAAGAAACTCCTCCTCAAAATTCAATGTTAATAAGCTTGTTCCACTTGCAAAGATATATTCTGGAGATTTCACAACATCTGACTGATTATTGCTAAGAAGTCAGCTTCAAACCTTCATTCTTATTAATGTTAGGAGAACTGATGAATTTAATGAATGTACTAATATCTCAAGCCTTGCTCAGCTGACGGTTAAGACTTAAGACCACTAAGCATAGAACATTAATTTCCATTGGTGCATCGTTTCATTGAGCTTCCATTGCCCATTGGTGTATCTCTGTTGAGTGCATATTTTCAGCAATGAAAATTATCAAGACTGCAGATCTGCGCAAATAAGATATCAGATAATTGGCTTAATAGTTTGAAAGTATAATATACTCCCTCCTTCCCAAATTGATCATCATATATGTTTATATACCAAGACTAAGAATAATTTAAATTACATCAATTAAGACACCATGTACACATTCTCCCACAATATATGTATCGATTAAAACACCATATCAATCACACGTTAGCATGCACATATTCTCACGTGCTGCATTAGTTGTATTATAATGAAATCCATGTACATGTGGTTATATGATAATCAATTTGAGAAATTTAAAATTTTATTATATGATGATCAATTTAGGAATGAGTGAGTACTGAGCTAGAGATATTCAAAAGTATCGATTATGATGCAATCATGAAGCAATTCTAAGCCTTGAAAACCCGCAAAGTATCTTTGTCGACCTGAAGAATAAATTGCAATGACACGTTGCTTCTTTTAGTTAATGTGTGTTTACTTCTACCATTCATGCGTTACTAAATGTGCTCATTAATATATCCAGGTGGCTGTTCACTTTGCTCTTTACCAAAGATCTAAGAAAATTAGCATCTTACTCCCTCCATCTACTTTTGATAGTAATATTTCATCTTGGCACACAGACTAAGAATAAGCAATTCTACTTATCATCCATTTAAACATCCTACTAGTTATTCCTCGTAAACAAGCGATTCATTAATATTTATATTTCTCAATGCCCATGTAGACAATTTTGTGTGGAAGAATAGAGAGTCACACATTAAATCCGAGAAAGTCATTAAGATCTAGATTGTTGGATTGAAATGTCTATCAAAAATAAATTTTTCAGATTTAGAAATATGCCTATCAAAAGTAGATGGAGGAAGTACTTGACTACTGGTTAGTCAAGGTACGTACGTCTTTTATAATTAAATATGTTTTTCTATCTAATCATGAAAGTGTTACATTTGATTTGATAATGTTATGTGTCTTATTTTAGCATTACCGACTTAGACTTTCAGTCTAGCATACCCTCAATTTTTATTCTGTATTTTCCATTGCTTAGAGAGACACACCTACTGTAGTAGCATGGTGATAGTAGCATAGGTGTGGGTACAGCTGGCCAATGGTTTTGTCGTGTGTCTGATATTTGAATACACTGTGCTAGATAGGTGAGAAGGAACACCCATAAACAGTTCCCAAGGACGTAAGATTTGGCTTAACCTCATTAACAAATACTATGGTAGTATTATACTCTGGTGTCGTCATCAAGTTTAAATCTTCTATGGTGTTATTTTGTGTTCAGCTACCGATATCGATTTCAGAGCCAGTCTTATAATATAATTTTTTGCCGTGTTATAGTGTCTTTAACTTCAACCGTATTTAAAACTTAAAAGAATTATCGAACCAGAGGAAGAGGAAGTATACGTTAGAGGGATTGGGATCCCTTGACGTAAAGTCAGAGGGACGTGGTGACTGACATGTGGACTCCACAGCTCTTGAACCCACATTTTAGTGGCAGTTCACATAAGAGGAGAGGCGTCCACACTAATTAACCAGGTGAAATCATGTAAAGAAATTTCCATGTAAACACTAACTAGCGATATCCTGTTGCCCTTAAAATGCTTCCGACCACCAACGGCAAACACTAACCAGGTGAAATCATGTAAAGAAATTTCCATGCATGGTCACACACTTTTGCTTCAACATTCTCGTTATTCTTTCGACGAAGACGAGTACTGGACGCAAAAAACAAAATCCCGAATTTTTATTTTTTCCTCAGAACACATCACAAATTCACAGCCCGCATGCAATGCAATTGCGAACTAGTTGAAAGCATCGACGGGCCAGAATGGCCGAGCTTAACGACGACTTAATTACAATCAAGATGAGTAATAAAGTAATTAAGCTGCAATGCAGCTAAGCTAGCTAGCTAGGCCATGGTGGTGACGTAGACGTCCATCTCGAAGACGCCGGTGTTGGGCGTGGGGTTGCCGAACTTGGTCATGAGGCTGTACCCCCTCGCCCGCCGGAACCTCCCCGTGCCGCCCACCACGGCGCGCTCCATGTCGCCGGCGGCGCCGAAGTCGACGCGGCCGTCCAGCACCAGCGTGCTCCCGTTGTAGTCCCCGCCGGCGAAGGCGAGGGTCAGCAGCGTCCACGCCGCCGCCGGGTTCCCCAGGTCGGCCTGCACGACGAGGCCCTCCACCCGGCCCAGGTACCGCGACGCCGCGTCCGAGCCCTCCCGGAGCTCGTCGTCCAGGGCGCCCACGCTCCCGAACGACGAGTTGCTGCCGGCGACGGCGAGCGGGGACGGCGCCAGGGAGGCCGTGGTGGCGTTGTCGCCCGCGAACGTCTCGTGGATGTAGAAGTGGAGGTGCGTCGTCGTCGTCGTGCCGTCGCCCGTGGCGGCGGCGAGGACGGCGAGGAAGGCGAGGAGGCAGATGATCGTCGTCGGCGTCGGCATCATGGAGGTTTGTGTACGTTGCGGTCGGTATAGGAGAAAACCATGTAAGTGGAGTAGTAATTAGTGCGTGAGAGTCAGTAGAAGGAGCAGTTGGGCCTCAACTATCGTGGGGACTGGTCGTGGGAATCTTTAGAGCAGGTACAATAAGCTATTCTGACTGGTGATAATGCATCCACGGTGGATTTCTTTGGTGAGCTGGAAGAAAGATTAGAGGAGAGAGAGTGTGAGCCGGCGACTAATTTGTCGCCGACTACACACGCGCTCCAAGGCCGAGCGAATGGGAAGCTAGTGAGCAGCTATTGGACCCACAAGAACTGTGCAGGAACAAAGCATGGCAGGACGCCATTGAGGCCGTGAGCTCGGGGTCGAGGAACAGTGGCCAGGAGGGGAGCTCGGTGAGTGACGCCATGGTGACTAGAGTGGCCAGCTTGAAGCCTAGCTAGCTGCCATGAAGGAGAAGTTGAGAGCGTTGGCATGCCTGATTGGAGGAGGATGAGGTAGGAGTGAAGGCTGTCACCGGCGTGGCTTGGGCACGGAGAGCGGAATTTTTTTTATTTTTAATTTTTTTTATTAAAAGTTTTACAAAAATAATTTTCCATTTTGAAAATTGACGGAAGTGGTCGCCTACCGCCCTCTGGGAGGGCGATTTTTAAAAATCGCCATCCCAGAGGGCGGCGAAAATGACGTGGCAGACGGCCGTTCGCTCTCGGGCGACGGCCGTCAACGAAATTTGCAGGCGGCCCCCTTGCCGCCCTGGGGGAGGGCGATTTTTGCCTCCCCCTATAAAGCCCAGTCCCCCCTCTCTGAAATTTCATTATATTCACTAAAAATCCAAAAAAAACGAAAGAGAGAGAGGGGAGGGCAGCAGAAGGGGAGCGGCGAAGCCCTGCTGGTTCGCTCACTTCATCACAGGTTTGCTCCCATACATCTTTTGCATTTGTACTAATATGTTATGTTTGAGTATATATGTTGCGTTTTAGTTTTAGTTCCATATATTTTAGCATATCTGTAGCACACAGCACATATGTGTAGATCTAGAGCATAGAATATAATAGTATGAATTGAGACATAGACAGTAGTGTTAATTGTAAGATGTAGTTTAGTTTGATCTGGAGAATGTAACCTACTTTTAGAATTTTGGAGAACAATATTGTAGAGAATGTAACTTAGGGCGTAGTACAGAAATGCGAGGTTAACGCAGTTATTGTTTTCATCAAGCACAATGTCAAATAAGGTCACATTTCAGATAGTTCACGGTGAAGGAAATATTAGATTTGGTCCAGATGGTGTTGATCTGTCAGATTTTGTAATGACATCTAAGGGCATCGATAGGCCTGCGGAGAGAACATTTCAGTCAATTTATAGTTGGTTGTTGAGAGGATTTAGAATAGACCAAGAAGTCTACACAATGTCAGTATCAGTTGTAGTGAGTCGTGCAACAGAAGGTTATTTTTGGGAACTAATGCCGATGGACAGCACTGCTGCTTGGAGACGGTATGTGGAAATGGCTTTTGAACGGTCATGGCCCCTCGTTATATTTGTGTCGGTACAAGAGAAAGATATAAATGTTTCAATGCAAACCGAAGATGTAGAGGGTCCTATTAATGCAGGGGATGTTGTTGGACCATCGATGCAAAATGAGGAAAATCAACCAAGGGAGGAGCAGGCCATGGGCATGGCGGATGAGGGGGAGAGAGTCGGTATAATTGTTGATGAAATGGAGAGGGAAGATTCGGATAATGAGGAAGCGGACGACGACGCATCATCCGATGAGAAAGGTGATGTAATGGCCACTGATTGGGCAAATGAGGACTTCTCTGGACTTGTTATATCAGAGGGTGATCATGTACCCTGGGAGTATAAGGAGAACGAGGTAATTGACGGTGCAAGGTATGCTCATAAGGATGAGATGAAGGAGGCGGTGAAGCATTGGGCAGTTTCCTTGCAGAGAGAGTTTAGGGTGGTCAAGTCAACAAATTATGTGTATGAAGTGAGGTGCATGAAGGAAGATTGTCCGTGGCGTGTCCATGCATATAAGGGTAAATGAAATGATTATTGGAAAGTTAGCATTGTGACCGAGCACAAGTGCTACTTACAAGGGGTGGAGAAGTATCACCGAAACATCACTTCAGCTTTTGTGGCAAGTGAGATGTACAACAGTGTTGTTGGTAACATTGGCTTTGAACCAAAATCAATTATTAGGCACATCGAGAACAAATTCAAGTACACCATAAGCTATGCAAAGGCCTGGAGAGCCAAACAAAAGATTATTGAGATGAGGTATGGCACATTTGAAGCTTCTTATGATAATTTGCCTCGTTTGTTAGCCACCATTGCCCAGAGGAATAATAATACTTACTATGACCTACATACATTTACATCGGTTGATGATCGAACAAAGAGTGTGCTGCAAAGAGCCTTTTTCTCATTGGGTGCTTGCATCAATGCTTTTGTGCATTGTCGACCTGTTCTATGCATAGATGGAACTTTTATGACAGGTAAATACCGAGGTCAGATATTGACAGCAATTGGGTGTGATGGGAACAACCAGGTTGTACCTATGGCTTTTGCATTTGTAGAGAGTGAGAACACTGAAAGCTGGTACTGGTTCCTAGAGAGAGTGCACATTGCAGTGGTGCGTATGAGGCCCAACGTTTGCCTTATACATGATCGTCATGCGGGTATGTTGCGGGCTATTGACTACTTGCAGAACGGTTGGGATGAGAAAGGACTTCCAGCTAAGTGGCCTGATGTTCGGAGTCGGTGGTGCATGCGTCACATGGGTGCAAATTTCTACAAGCAATTCAAGAACAAGCATCTTATGGAGCTCTTTAAGAGGCTCTGTGCACAGAACCAAGAGAAGAAATTTAATGAGTTGTGGGACAAGTTGGATGAGTTGACAACGAAGCAAACAGATGAGCAATCTCGCAGACCACAAGTTGAAGGTGACGAGCCTCCCATACCTCTTGGTGCATTACATGATGACCCACCAACAATGAGAAGGAGGTCAGGGTCGTCCATCAGAAATTTCACTCAGTGGATTGAGAATGAGCCTAAGGAGAAGTGGTCTCTATTGTTCGACACCGATGGATCTCGGTATGGCATAATGACAACCAATTTGGCAGAGGTGTACAACTGGGTAATGCGAGGAGTTCGGATACTTCCATTGGTTGCTATTGTTGAATTCATCCTTCACGGCACGCAAGCGTACTTTAGGGATCGATACAAGAAAATTGGTCCGTCCATGGCCGATAACAACATAGTGTTTGGCAACGTAGTGACAAAGTACATGGAAGATAAAATCAAAAAGGCACGGAGACATAGAGTTGTTGCTCAAGGCACACAAGTGCATCGGTATGAAATAATGTGTGTTGATAGGAGCAGGCGTGGTATCTATCGCAAGCAAGCCGTGCAGGAATGTGTCTTGAAGGCGGATGGTGGATGTACCTGCAGTTGTATGAAGCCGAAGCTTCATCACCTTCCTTGCTCACACGTTCTTGCTGCTACCGGTGATTGTGGCATATCTCCCAATGTGTACGTCTCAAATTATTTCAGGAAAGAAGCAATCTTTCATACATGGAGTGAGGAGATATATGGGTTCGGGATCTCAGGATCTTACACAACGCTGAGTGCCCAAGTTTTTTACATTCCAGATCCATCTAAGTTAAGGGTGAAAAAGGGTCGACGCCAAACTAGACGCATCAGAAATGATATGGATGAGTCAGAAGCAGGTGGGAGGACTTTACGCTGCAGCAAGTGTGATCTGCGCGGCCATACTTACAATAAATGCCCGAAGAATGCAGAAGTTTCAAGCGGCGCAGATGCTAGTCCATCTGGACAGGCAAGTGATGGTAGGCGACCACCTGGTGAAGGAACAACAAGCAGGCGCGCAAGGCCAAGGCGTCGTCGCGCAGCAGGCGATTCCATGGTGTAACAATGCTATCGATTTAGGAAATAAAATGCTGTTGTGATGTGATGAGTGTTCGGACTAAATACTTGTATCGTGTAATTTCAATTGAATGTTGTTGTAATGAGTACCTCCGACTATTGTTGTACTAGTAGTATTGCGAACTATTCGGTGTTGTATCATAATGTTATCGTGATGAGTGTTCGGACTAAGTACTCATATTGCGAACTATTCGGTGTTGTATCATAATGTTATCGTGATGAGTGTTCGGACTAAGTACTCATATCGTGTAACTGCAGTTATTGTTGTAATCAGAAATATTCCGTATGGTGACACTTTTGTTTGTTTGTACTCTTGTTTAATATGTGTTAGTAATTCGCTTATGAACATTTATTACTTATGTTGAACTAATTATTTATATGTTTCTGATCAATCTATTTGATGCAGGTATGGCGTACGACACACCGGCGCTGTTGAACCGTGGGATTGACAGGAACCACCGCTCGTTCCTGTCAGCAGTCGAGGGTGCACAGCTCGGCACCTTCCGTCCACGCACGTCGCGCGAGTGGTTGCGTGTCGACCCCCGTCACGTTCCTTGGTACGCGTATGTTCACATTTCAACTCAACTTTGCTTTGTGTTGTACTTATGTTTGAAGTTTGCTCTATACAGGTTGCGTGCGGCAGACCTTCTACCACTTTGTAGGCTTGTTGAGGCGGCGGCGGACGACCGTGACCCAGCGAAGCGGTGGGATGCAGACCGGTCACTCCTTGCCGCTCTGGTAGACCGCTGGAGACCTGAGACGCACACGTTCCACCTTCCCTGTGGGGAGATGGCTCCGACACTGCAGGATGTGTCGTACCTGCTCGGGCTACCGCTGGCGGGAGCACCAGTTGGTCCCGTGGACGGTGTTTTTGGGTGGAAGGAGGATATCACTGCGCGCTTCGAGCAGGTGATGCGCCTTCCACACCTAGGACCGGCCAA